AAAGAGGTAGTCTTAACCTTAATCCCCTCTTTTTTTACTTATTATTAGAACTTTATATTACTATTAATTACTATAATAAAGTAGTTTATATCTTACTTTATTTTATATAAAGTAAAGCTATATTACCTTATTACTTATTACTTAAAGATATATAGAACTCTAAATATACTTTTATAAGTTTTTAATACCTTTAGAAATCTAAAAAAACAACTAGTATATTTATCCTTAATTACTATAAGCTATAAGTTCTTATTATACCTTTTAAGGTAATTAAAGAGGTCTTAAGTAATTCTATAGTATAAGTAAAGTAACCTTTATTCTAATCTTTGTTTTAAGACTATCTTCTTTATATAGATCGTTTAGTAGTAAAAGTATTCTAATCTCTTATAAGCCTTAATCTTTACCCCTTAAGCATTTAAGACTAATTACTTAAGTACTTAGGGTCCTAGATAACTGCCTTATAGATACTAAAGCTAGGCAAGGTCTAAGTAAGTACTTTTCTTATAGCGTAAAAGTTATATAGAAGTATTATAGTAAGGTAATATTATTATATTAATATTAACTATAACTATATTACTTATAGGGATTTATATATAAGTAGAATAACTAATAAGAGGCTTGTATTTAAGAAAAGTGATATTTACTTTTTATATAAGTTACTTAACTATAAAGCTATCTAAATATTCTTTATATTAGAAGGTATAATTAAGTCCTAAGTACTAGATACCTATTATATAAAGTAAAGCTTTTAATATAATATTTATATAAAAATTCTCTATATATATTATATTTTTAAGCATAAAGTCTTAGTTTACTCTATTTTAGCTTCTAAGAATCCCTTTAATTATATATTTACTTTTTATATAAATAAGGTATAAAGTAATACCTAAATTAACCTATTAATTATTTTCTTTAACTACTTAGATTATACTTAGCTCTAGGAGAAATACGTTATTTACTAGGTAAGTAGCTTTATAGTTATCTAATATAGTACTATATAAAAAGATATATAGGCTAAAGTATAAAGTAATAAAGATACTATAAATTTCTTTTTTCTAAGCGGCTTTATCTAGGTTTAGTTAAAGTAAAGTAAAGTTAATAATATATGTAATAACTTTTAATAGTAAGTTATTACTAGGTTTATTATTATTATTTTTATTATTATTAGTCTTATTATTATATCTCTTAAGATCTCTTTTCTAAAACAAAAAGATTACCTAGAGCTACTCTTTCTAAGCAAGTTTAGCTTAAAGGTCTATATTCTAAGGGTTATTAATTTAATTATAGATTTATTATATGTTATTATTAATAATTAAAGCTGGTCTAAGTAAGTAGCTAGTAAAGGTTTTCTTTATATAAGTATATTTAAGTAAAGGCTAGTAGTATAAATAGCTATAAATATATATTTTATTTAAGTTTTTTAGTAAAAAGTAGTATATATTATTTTTAGTTAATATAGTAAAATAACTTACTAAAGTTATATAAATACTAAGCCTTTTCTTATAGTACTTTATTACTAATAAGTCTTTTTATAAAACGTTAATTAGAATTATTATATAGTTATTTAGGTTTTTAATTAAGAAACTTATTATCTTATTTTAGATAATTTCTATAAATTTATAAGTTATTTAAGATAAAGTAATTCTATATAATACTATTTTTAAAAAGGTTTTTAAAGTAAAAGCACCTTAGACTTTTAATAAGTCTAGGATTTTTATATAAAAGTAAAAATTTTATTATTCTATTAACTAAATAAATAAGTTAATACTTAAAGCTATTTAATTTAATAAAGCTAAATATTTTTTTTAAATAATAGTTTAGCTAAATAAGTTATTTAATATATATTATTACTTAAAAATTTTAAGTATTAAGTAAAATATTATTTAGTTTTATATTAAAGCTTTTATTTAAGTTAATTTAAAAAGTAATTTAATAATTAATATTTTTACTTATATATTAATTATATTAAATACTTTTTTTTATTATTTCTAAATAGCTTTTTTTATACTAATATTTAAAATATATATTTAGTATATAACCTTAATATTTAAATTAACTATTATTAAAAGAAATTTATTATTAGTTTATTTAAGATTTATATTAATAATAAATTTATTAAAAATAAAAATTTTTAAAATATCTAAGATCTTATTAAAATATTTAAATTTTTTTATTTTTATTTATTTAAGTCTATTTAAATTAATAAATTCCTAAATATACTTTAACTTTACTTTAAGCTAAAGGGTTATATACTATAAAGGCTAATTATTTTATATCTTAAGTTTCCTTATAGCTTTAATAAAAATAGACATATTAGAGATATTAGTTTAAAAGAGTAAAGATAATTTATTTAAAAGAGATTTTCTAGCCTATAATACACTCTAGACATAGTAGTTCAAAGGTATAATATAAGCTAAGCTTATAACTATTATAGAGTCATTACTTAAGGTAAAAAAGATATAAGGAAAACGGCTTAGATTTCTATATACAGAATTGCTTTGTCTAAAACAAATAAATATATATCCTACGTGGTGGATCTGTACGAAGGGACCAGACTAATAGTTAATCCAGGCCCAGCGTAAATCTCACAAGGCTGCGCGATGTGCGTGAGGGCATCGCGACAATATGTGTTTAAAGTCCGGACTTGACATTGTGCGTCTCTACTGAACTAGCCGTATCCACCGAAGACAAACTTGACGCCCGACATTCACCCGAGGTAAAGGCAGAGTTCTACTAGCCCAACCAAGTTTGATGTTTCTGCACAAAGTTTTCAACAATGATCTAGAAATCTTAGCGTGGGGATACATGCCGATTTACCTTCTTCCTCTACTGTTATTTCATCCTGTTCCTCTTTTTCCCATCTCGAAAGCTATTTGAACGCCTCTACGTGCCAGGTCTTCCATTTTTGCCGCCTTCTGGGTTCGCTTGCACTTGTCGCCTTTTCCCGCGAATCGACAAGGGATGTAATCTACGCTCTTCAACGACTTGACCATACGGAGACAAATACCAATGTACCGCCGAGCATCCAGCGGTGCCACGCGGCCGGGTCAAGGTTGCGCTTGTCCAGATTGGCCGACCACATTTCTTCGTAAAGTTAAGTTTGACCTTGTTTTACAACGCTTACAAGCCCACGTCGATGTGTTTGTTAACGTCAGAGGCTTGACGTTTGACACTACGAAGGGCACGTACATCGTGGAAGACACCTTGTGTGAGCCTCTCACGTTTGCATAAACTCTCATCCACAACGAAATAATCGCTAGCGAATGGCTCTGATCATAAGTTCTCAATGGAGTTGCCCAGAGTGTCTTTCACCACACTGTACTGGTATATATTCATGAAAACCGGTGTCGTAGGCATTACTCATGGTTTTGGCCTCAAGTGGAAATCCATCGCAACTCGCATTTATAATAAAACCATTTTGAACGAAGGACTGTGCTTTTCCTATGTTAATATCAGAGGAAATATCTACATGAACATGTTTTGTAGACGCCAAGGGTGTGTGAACAAATGCTGAAGTCCATTTCTATCACTGGAATTAGGTTAAGTATGGATAAATGCCCGAGACCGCTCGAAGTCTAGAATCAGTAAAGCTATCCACAGAGTAAACGAGTTCCCTCCACAGAGATGGCGTTCCGTACACCCGATCACTAAGTAGCTTGTAAAATAAGATCTTTCTTCGAGGCCGCGAAGGTTTTAAAGCACACGGGGGCCGCACCCGGTAGCTTGTTGAAGTCCTTCGCTTCTTGTCTTTGCTATTTGCTGCAACAACATTTCCGTGTGTGCAAACATGAAGTGATTCCAGTCAGGCCTATCTTGTCCTGTATGGCATAGCTAGACCTCCAAATAAGGCGTACTGCGCCCATGTCAGGTTCATCTCTGCTATAAATGAAACATCAAACGTTGTTGCTTAAGATTTAGAATCTGTAAGTGGTGATAAAGACTGGCTTTAATACAATGCTTTTCTCGTTGATTTAATCATGAGTATCCGTCTTGGAACTCTAGCTGATGAAACAAATGAGCCTCGAAGTTCCCAGCGTAGCCGTTCAAATTATACTCAATTCTGGTCCCTCTGAGAACAACATCAGATCCAACTATGTCACTCTTTTCTCTAGTATTACTGTTGTCGCTGTCAGTTTGAGCATTCCGGGATCAAAGCTAAGTATATAATGCTGACACTTGAGTGAAAGGTTCTTGGCATAATCATATTGTCTTCCTAATGGATATAAGCCATCGAGTCGTGGTCAAGTTAAAATGATTACTATTCAGGATCCTTGGGTATGTGACGTACCTAAACCAGAACCTACCTTTCACTAGGCAGCTGTCAAAGGCTGAACTCATATGCATTTTTGAGGTTAACAATGCTCCCTTGGTGGTCAGTTGTGACTAGCATTCAGTTGTGACTAGCATTCGAATCTATCCATCCATCATGTGCTAAAATTCGACCGAGGCCCCTTAGATGTCGCCTCGGGTTGGAGATGTTTCGTTTCCGGTGTTCCCTTCTCCACGTGCTCCACCAGGGTCCTTGACAGCAGCGCTGCATGGTCAGTCAAAGAATATATAGAAGCAGGACTACGATTCACTCCATATAGAATCTCTTTCTCTAGCATAACGGAAATCTAAACAAACCAACAGCTTAGAGACTCCGCATGGCAGGAGAGGCTTTTCTAATTGGCGCTGATACATGGCTCTTGGTCTTGAATCTCTGAAATGGCTATCCTCGCCCGCTACGGAGTGCGACTATGCAGTGGAGCGAGCTCAATGGAGTTGTTCCACATAGATCAAACCTTTCTATATTGCCTTAAGTAATACTAAAACATCCTCAACAAAATTGACAGTGAAATGCAACCGAGGCACTGGGTCATCAGTAATGAATACTGATCAGATAACCCGTGTCCGGATGACATAATCATTGCTTACAAACAGGGAGGAGTTGGCTATATAAGACGAATACTGCTCAGCCAAAGTCTCAAGAAGCGACTAATTCTGATGGGCCATTTACAATGACGGACGCGAATGTCCCCCAACTGAGGCAAAAGACCCTCAAAGTACCACGCGGGTACAACTATACCTATTACACCAGCCTTGCTTCTCCCGGCAAGCCTACTCTCATTCTTTTCCATGGCTGGCCGGATTCCGCGAAATTGTGGGCAAATGTAATCGACAAACACCTGGTGCGGTTAGGCTATGGCGTTATTGCCATCGACATCCTTGGTTTTGGCAACACCTCCAAACCCACCGACCATACCCAGTATGCCTTCCATCTCGTAGCTGCAGACGCTGCTGCAATCATCGACGCCGAGAACCTTTCGAGTGTGGTCTCCGTCGGACATGACTGGGGATCCGGCATCGCTCAACGGTTTTACAATTTCTATCCCTCGCGTGTCTCTGGCCTCGTGATGGTCAACTTCTCGTACATACCGCCCAATGTACCGCCCTTTGAACTAGAAAGCGCGCTCGACCATTCACGCCATACTTTTGGGTATGGCATCTATGAATACTGGAAGTTTCTTGCGGCGGACGACAGCCCTCGTCTCCTGAAACAAAACATCGAAAGCATCTACGCGGCCGCTCATGGATCACCAGAGTCTTGGTTAGAAACCTTTGGTAAGCCCGACGGTCTGCGGGCTTTTGTATCCAATGGGACAACGCAGCCGTTGCTACCGTACGCTGGAGGCTCTCACAAAGCGGAATTTGTAGAGCGTATGACCCGCGATGGGTTTGAAGGGCCGAGCTGCTGGTACAAAGCATACGTTTCAGGAACGCAAAATGAGTCAAACAAGCTCGTGCCCCAGGAAACTTTTGTCGTGAAGGTGCCAACATTATTCTGGGGTGGAACGAGGGACAAGGTGTGCCGGCCAGAGATGATGCAGTGGGGTGTGGAGGCAGGTTTGTTGCCTCATTTGACTACTAAGCTGGTGGATGAGGGGCATTGGGCGCTGCTCGCGAGACCAGACACCTTTGGTCATGACTTGGTCGACTGGCTCGAGGAGAATTTCGGTACTGTTGGGGAAAGTTCCGTGTAGTTTGGCAGCAGTTTATAACATACATACATCCCCTTGGTACCTTTCGTTCTATCAACTTAAATGAACATTTGAACATTCGGCTGCTTTGAACACGGCCCAACAGTGGAAGCACTATTTGTTATCAGGCAAATAAGTTTTCTTCGTTACTCTTGGTACATTGTTCGTACGACGGTTGTATCTTATTGCCTGTTCGGCGTGATCGGGCTACTTCTTGTGTCCCAGACTGAATAAATCGCAGAGCACGCTTGCATGCTTCTGTTTACTTCATGGTGGGCCCCTTTCCCCATTAAACCTTATGCCACTGTGTCAATCAATAGCTCCTCCGGTCTCCGTTGAGTTATGCCGACTTGATTGCCTTCCAAAAGCAGTGTCCCGTCAACGCTATAGAGCCTAAAAGTGCCTACTTACATGCAGCCAACGCCGCCACCAATACTACTAGCAACTACCTATCGGCGATTGTTTAAATGAGTCATTGCTTTTTGGATGTCCTGTATCCAGCGGGGCGGAGCACCGCGCTGTTCTCGGCACTAGTTATTGGTACATTTGATCCAACGATTGGTGGTTTCAGAGTCAAGGGTATCCCAAAAAGGCTCCCGAATTGTCTAGCCGGAATGAGAAAAGAAAAGCGCTTCATGTTCGAATCGTACCGACACAAGATGGTTTCTTTGTGGAGGCCAAGCAAGCTCATTAGATGAGATACCTATTCTCAGCATACCTCAACGACAGATGGCTAGGAGTTGTTGAATGTATCCAAGCTGGTGAGCAACAAGTGGACACGCTGGGATTGATTGACACGGTGGTAGGTTGCGGAGTCAATTCGGTTGTTATTTGCACCCGCCGTTGCCAGCAGCGAACTATATACATGTAAATAAAGATAAGCTCCGCTTGGAAAGTCCTGGCATAGAGACATGTTGACGGTTCGAACCAATGGCACAAAGCAGAAACATGGATCCTTTATCCACCCAAAACTCTGGACGTGGTGAACGGGGGCATCATACCCCCAGGCATAATCATGCCTGGTGCATGGCTATAGACAGCTAACAGCACACAGTTTCAAGCTCGTCGTAGACGACATTTAGCAGTCGGCAGCAGCAGACTGAGAGGCGCTCGCGGCCGAAGCAGCGGTGCTGCCACCAGAAACGGTGGTGGTCTTGTCGCCGGAAGATCCGTCGGCGCTGCCGCGGATGGTGCCACCGGGGATGACATCAGGGCCGGGAGCCTTGTCATAGGAGGTGGAGGTGCCCCAAACGCTGAAGTTGACGGGGGCGTCGGCCTGCTTGTAGACGCCAGGAATCTTGACTCCAGTGCCGGGCATGTTGGTGGCCGAGTTGCCGGTGACCTCAACCTGGGCGCAGGCGTAGTAGAACTCAGCCTGGCCGTCGTGCGCGCCGTGAAGACCGATGTGCTCGCCACGAAGGAGGTACTGGCCGTTGGGAATAGTCGCGGGGATGGTCATGGAGACGTTGTCCTCGCCGTAGCTGCACCAGGCGTCATAACGAAGGGTCTCGGCGCTACCAGCCGTGCAGAGGAGAGACTGGTGGACCTTGTACCAGGTTCCGGTGCCCTTGTCGGAAGAGGCGTCGCTGACGGGGCTCATGTAGAACTGAGAGGGACCAGGGTGCTTCATGCCAGTGCCACCGAAGGCCTGCTTGAGGGCGACCTTGTCTCCCGCCTTGACCGTGATGACTTTGGGGGCGGCAGTGGCGCCCTTATTGCAGCTGAAGTCGGTATCGGTGGGCGAGATGGAGCCGGAGGGGATGTTCTTGAACTTGGTGGGCATGTAGCCGTTCTGGTGCTTTCTGACGTAGGTGTTGTCGCCGCCCTGCAGAGCGCCGTTGAGCAAGAGCTTGTCGAAGGTGTAGTGAGCAGAGGTGGAAGAAACCAGGCCGAGGACGGCGGAGAGAACGAAAGAGGCCTTCATGTTTGCGGTCGAAGCTAAGATGAAAAGAATGGAACGACGTCGAGTCGATATGTAAAGAATGAATAAAAAAGAATGGATGCAAAGCAGAGAATGAAGCTTGATGCTGTTTGACTAGAACATTACCGCCGAGAAGAGGTCTCATCATAGTCTTTAAATATATTCAACTTCGCGGCGCTGATACATCTTGGCAATAATTACACGCAATCTCATCTCCTACAAGAGAGTCCAGTCAGGCTGGTGGAACCATGTACAGGACAAGATAGTCGATACTCCTCCTGGAATGTTGGAAATAAATTGTCAATGGATCCCAACGGAATCGCGATGCAGAGGCACAGCGCCAAACCATGTAATTTTGCCGCCACTATTGGCACCACCAAAAGAGAAACATTTGGTCGCGCCTCCCTAAGCATAATCCAGCCTTGATGGGACATTGTTTGTGGAGCAGGGTGAGGGTATCCCCTGATTGCATGGTCACCTGCGACTGCCTCCTCGGAGTACGGGTAATTGGCCGTGGGCGTTGTGGTTTTTGGCGGTATCTAACCACTTTGGTCTGCTTCGCCACACAGCCACACTCAGGCTCATTTTCTTCAAAGTACTGCTCCTCAACAGTACAACCTCTTTTATCCTAGCCGTTTACCATATTCCTTACTTAACCCAACAGCTTACACGAACCCTGACCACTAACCCTAACTACTAATATTATCTTTATTTTTACTTATATAGTAAGATACTTAAGATTAGGTTAAGATTAGTAGTTGAAGATTAGTGTAGGCTATAAGTTTGAGTAAAGAAGATAGTAAATGGTTAAGATCAAAGAGGTTACTATAGAGCTTTGTACCTTAAGATAGAGGTACATCTGGGTTTGTAGGCCTATCTATTGCGTGGCTGTGCTACTTCCTAAAATGGTTAGATACGGCCGAAAACTAAAATGCCTACGGCTAATTACCCGTACTCGCCTTTTCGACGCATATAGGCTTCTAAATCAAGAAATTAGAAGAAGATATTTGTTGGACCGGGGTTCAAAGCCATCAAACCATGGGAAACTAAACTCAATCCTAAGAAACGAACTGTAGGAAAACACAGATTATGTTTCCGCTGGACAGATAGTTCTAATCGATGATCACAGAATTCAAAAGATCAAACCCTAATAATTAGAACTGGCGTAGAGAGTCTGCGTTGCTAGAAGATCGCACTTCTCCCAGGAGCTGAACTTTCATCTAGACAGCCCGTCACGTTGGGTACATGGCCACCAACCATCACATAATCCATTACATGCGGGACCTTTCCCACAGTCCGAGATGGAACTTGCCCCCTAGCGCCTAATTGTGGCCCTGGCAAAGTGAGGGTTGACCAATGGGTTGTCAATCCACATCCCTCCCTAGACGGTCGTACATCAAGTCGGACACCAATGCAAGAAGAAACTGGGGGTTTTGTGCTTTGTTTATTTTTGTCGGTTCATCCCAACTTTTATCCTCATTACATTTTTCGATCGCCGCATGGTCTCATCCTTCAGGATGACATCTAGGCTAATCCATCCTACTTTCGCTCTGAACGAATCGTGCAGTATAACATCTAGAGCTTCGTGTGCAACAAAAATAGGTGGGATACGGTGTTTGCGTTATCCAACCTCCAGGGTCTAGTGTCGGTCTTCCGCGAAAGATCGCGTTCTCCGAGATGTACTCCCTATTTACTTGCCACAGTCTGGGCATTGACAGACTCCTTAAGCACCTTGTCAGTTGAAGTCATAGGCCCATCGAACAGCATGTGCGAGACTCTCGCATTTCTGCGCGCCTACATATCACCGGCCTGTTGACTCTCTCCGATGCCAAGGTAATCGACACTCATTATCGGACACTGTCATGGCCCAAAAAAGAAAGCGCCGCCAGATATGTCGGCCCAGACTGGTAAGGACGCCACTTCCGTGACGTGTGGCCTAGTCAAACGATCTTGGCAACTATGCCTCTTCAGTGCTGGCATTGATTCCTTAATAATTGAGAGGACGAGGCGCCACAGTAGCGTTGTTTTAGGGCTTCAAGCATACCATAGTACTGCGGTGTAATCCGAGGCGAAGGCTCTCAGGAGCGCTACCATCGGGAGTTACGAAAGACTCGGACAATTCGTAAAAACCATCGAAAATCCACAGGCAGGGGGTATGACATGGCCTGTTCTTTCTTTGAAACATGGAGCAGTGAGGAGAAGCGGCTCACCTAGTCCAATCGGAAGCAAGGGGGGCATGCAATACTTGGGCGGAAAAAATCTTCAATCGTAATATCAAGTTCGCTTTCATTGGCTCTGATTGTGCTTTGTAACAGGTCGACGATCTGAAGCCACTCCGTGCGACCTGCTTTCCTAACCCAAAGACGACCTGAGAAGACGACCCTCAGGAAAGCTACCATCTCCGCGTGTTCCTTCCGTGGGTATGGATGAGTTTCTTTTTCTGTCTTTCTTATTTTCTGTCTTTCTCCTTTTCTGTCTTTCTCCTTGTCGGCTCACCTGGCTTGATGTACACAAGCGATCCACGGTTTGTTAGGAGTTCATTTCCGAAGGAAATACTGACAGCTGTTCAACATCCAACGACTGGCATGGAGCTCGAAGCTATCTCTAGGGGTGCACAGGATGAGAACGTTGTGAAGTTGAAAAATACCACAAATACTTGATGTGTGAGCGAAGCACTAGTACGATTGCTCATTCAAGAAATTGGCCATTACCAGTCGTTACTCAGCAAAGCCCAGGGACTTCGGAACACCCGCGATTCCTTTGCATCAGCCGAACCAAGGCACGAGGAAGAGACCAATTACAGCTTGGAAACCTCAGTCGTGCGCGATCTACCTGGCTTCAAGATTGCTGGCAGCAGCGAGGCGATGCTAGACGAACTGAAATGTGACCCTCGACTGTGCACAACGAGCGAATGGAAGCGGGCATTAGGTTCATAACGCTGAATCTGGGTATGGAAGTTATTATTACCTGATAACCATGCACCATTAGGCCCAATGACGGTTTTACGGTGTTGTCGTGAAGTTGGATCTTTATGGGCCACCAGGCTGCGAGTGTCGATTCTCATCTCCAGGATGTGTATCATCCCTTTAAGTGGGCGCAGAAGATCGCCGAAGACCGCTCCCGCAGACCTTAGTGATGCAAGATGCATAGATGAACTTCAAGTCAAAGGAATTGGAGTCCCGAAGCACCATCCGGAAATGAATCTTGCAAAAACCGTGGATCGTGGGAACCGCCTTCGGATATCAAACCGTCTCTAGCTGCGAAACCCAGGCTTCCAAGAATGAGCATTGCTCCGGTAGCATAGAACAGTCGGTCTCACTGAGCTCGCTGGCGATAAACCTGAATTTTCGGACGTTTCCTGCCTTCATTACATGTGGGATGGCTGCCACCATCTGGCCGCAGAAGGTGGTGGCATTCAGGCCCACAGAAGACACAGATCAGTTGCCCGATACTGGAACTTTCTTCCATGCACTTGTGCGAAGCTGCCAGTATTGCAATAGTGGAAGAGACCCGATGTTAAGAAAGAGTCGTGCCTCCCCATCTTCTGCAGAGACCACATAGACCTTGGCAGCGAGCTCCTCAACGTCTGTCCATTTAGTAAGCAGGAGCGTGATGATTATGCCTTTCAACAGTCCGTCTTGAGATCAAGTCGCGAATGTCTACAGCCTCAAAGATTGTTTCGGGCTTCCATGGTCGGGAGGTTTGAATGCAAGCCCCGCGTTGCAATCGTATGTAGAAGTTTCAATGTTCGATGCAGACTTGTAGGGGCTGCGGGTCCTCCTGGTTTAATTTCGATCTTGTGGCACCAACCACTCAATATGAGCTGCAGCCCTTTACCAGGTCTCGATAACTGCGGTGATAGAGTATCTTCGAATGTTCCTACAGGATTGTGACCGGTAGTTTGATTACAAGGCAGGTGCATACTGTAGTGTCGAGAACGAAACATCCATGTCTGATGGGTTTGCCGCCTCTGTAGTTGGATTTCCTCCTTTGTGAGTAGCACAGTGACCATTTTTGAGTCAAATTTGCGACCAGATCTGTTACGGAACAGTCTACCGGTAATTAGACTGACGATCCGGGGATATCTTAACTACAGCACAGGCTAAGCGAAGTACCGTACGATCACAAGCGAAATCTGAAGTTCACTAAAATCGACAACCTTGGCATTTCATATATGGGATTTACTGCTCTTTTAGGGAAACAGTTTTATTCTCACCGATCCTCAAGTCTAGAAACAAGCTCCATAATAAACCCAAAATGCCCAGGTTGCCTCCTACCGCACATCGTTTGTAATCCGCCTTTCAGATCGAGCCATGCTGCCCAACCCAAAATGACAAATATGACTCTTTGTTGAATGGATTCTCTCTTCCTGAGAGAACCCGTTTGTACGATCGTACTCAGGTTAAAAGTTAGGGTGAACCAAAGATGTATTTTCCATGATTATCTTCCTAACTACAAGACTTGGCTTTCTTACACAAGATATATGATCTCGTACGTCCCTGAGTCAGTTCGGCATGAATATACTTTTGATCCCCTCAATGGATAACCGAGGGCCGAATATCCAGTCTGTGCCCTCTGCCATGATGTGTGTCCCTGAGTCGTGCGTGTCGTACAACCAGCTGATGCTGTTATTCCAACACTCTTATCTTTTTTAACGGGGAGACAAGCGTTCCAAGCGTTCCAAGCAAAGCTGCAGCCGCATAAATATCAAGCCAGGCCCAGCAATAAAGCAAAAGACTAGCTCAGGACCAGCGTTAGTCACCGGTTATAGCCCTTCGTCTCTAGTGCGAAAAGTGTTGCAACGATCATCATCGGGTGATCTGTTGACGTACAGCTAAAGTTTTAAAATTTATATTGGTCTGGGCTAAATGCTTCTTGTTTCTGTGGAAGAAACTTTGAGCAAAATATTAAAGCCGTATCGAAGAAAATTTGACACGTGGAACTAGTTGTTTAAGTCTTCACAAACGTAAGAATGCGACTCATCCGCGTTGCCCCCGATGTACTTCGCCGTGCGAGGCCATGGGAAAATTTTCCTGGTCCTCTTGCTTGCATCAGCAGGTTCAGTTCCAAGCAGATCCTCTGGAATCTGTCCCTTCTCAACCCAGTCGATAAGGGCCTCCAAGGAGTTCTGTTTCGCTGGAACCTGGGGGTAACTGGAGGCGCCAGTGCAATGCCCACCGCCTTGGGAGCAATACGTCAGCCAGATCTGTTGTATAGCGTCACCAAAACCTGCTACGCGGTCTAACTCACCTGGGATCATAAATAGTGACAACCAATCTTGTCTCTCGCCGCCTGTCACTCGTGAAACCTCATTCAAATGTTCTATAGGCCAAGTAGCGGCGTTGTATGGGTCAGCCCAGCCCTGTGTGACAAGTAGTTTCCCTCCGTTCGTTTTGAAGGTTGTGAGGTTGGGACTGATGGCGTCGATCAAGGCGCCCACCTTATAGTCTAGCAAGTCTACGTCGGCAGCCCAGTCAAAAGTGCTGCCGTTATAACTCAAGTCATCGAAAACCATGTTCTGAAGCAGAGGAAGGGAAAACGAGAGTGAGAGACGGCCTTCTTGGAACATCCATTCTGATTCGCTGCCCAGATCGAAGCCTGGATAGAGGCTGATGTTGGTTATCGAGTGGCGGGGACCGGCATATATCCCCTTAGCCGCTGCAAGCTGTTCTGGTGCGAGACAGGTCGATGTGTTGTTTGCTGAGTCTTTACACGCCAGGCTTTCGATGTTAAATTTGCAGGCCAGCGGATTCTCTAGAACTCGGTCTTCGACACCATCTAAAGCGTCGCATTCGTCCAATACTGTGTTTCTGATAGTCTCTAGTGACTCTTGCGGCAGGAACGCCGATCCCTCTAGCGTGTTAGCATATAAAGAACGTCATGAGGAAGAACAAGAGGCAACGGCTCGAGCGGTCTCAGCTAGAGGCGTGAAACACCAACTTACCGATGTGACTTGCTGATTCCACAAAAAAGATAAAGCAAGATGAGAGTACCAATTTCCGGGGCACCCTGCTGCTATGCCGTCAAATAACTCGGGGTGAAATTCGGCCAGTGCAAAACCCTGAGCACCCCCAGTAGAACAACCTTTATAGTAAGTATGACGAGGAGGCTCTCTGTAGTATACACTCGTGATACTTTTAGCTGGGGGCGTGAAAACCGCGATCGAGTTCCGGATCCATGCGAGAACCTGATTGCGATCATGAAGATACGGTAGATAGATGCCGCCAGGACAAGCATCACCGTTGTTGTTCTCAGAAGCTCGATGGCCGCTATCGCCTCCCGCCGTTGCAAACCCCTTATTGACGTGCTCTACCATGGCTGCATCGTCGATATTTCCAGCCATGCCCCCATTGCCTATGATAGTCAGATCAATCCCGATCCTTTCTTAAATCGGGCTGTTGAACGTATACTTACCCACTGCCAAAAGTCTACCCTTGTACATATTCGTTTCGGGGAGCCATACTTCGAAGAAGAGAGTGTTACTCTCAGGGAATGGTACGCTTCCATTCACACGGCAGAAGGCAACCGAGTTGAATGTTCCAGATGCGTTCAAGGAGTTGGTCGGTACTAATGCTGTTTCGACAGTGCCAATACTTGGTACCGAGGACTTTAGCAAGTTTGACAATGTGTCACAGCCAGTGCTAGCATTTGGAGCCCCTAGTGTTTGCGTTGGCAATAGCCACAATGCTAAGACCAGTGCCGATAACATGATGCGGAAGAGTCCATTTGAAGTTTTTATGCTCCTCCATTTACACATTTTTGTTGCAACGAGGGTTTCCCATCCTTCAAATACGCTTCGGTAACAGCTACCACAAGATCCTCTGCGGAGTAGATAAATGCTATTGTCGACTTGCCAGCCCGCTCTGTTGAAGCCCTCTTTTCTCCGACGGGGCTGAACAAGGATATGGGTTCTTCTCGGTCCTCGGCGCCGAAGCCAGTGAGGGGGTTGGCAAAACATAATGAGAGGCTCCGGAGAAATCTTGAGCGAGCGTATTATGGTGGGCTAGTCAAAGGTGTTTCGGTCAGCTTCTGTAGAAGACTTAGCAGCGATTGAGGGTTGCAACAGGACGCTGATCGTCAAATCATCGGCCAGCGGCGCCGACGGCCGTGAGCTGTAACAGGATGAAAGCGAATGGAGACAAAGCGTGATCCTGTGTGGTCGTGGGCTTTTGTTGGGTGAGAGATGCAATCTGGGCGAAAACATGGTTCCCCGCACTAAGGCCTCTCTCAGCGGGCCATGTTGTATTGAACCTCTTTCGCGCGGGGTTGTTTACCAGTTCGGCGGGATAGGCCAGGTCTGGCCTGTGGTTTCTTGATCGAATCAAGCAGTTTTAACCACTGAATGTTCTAGACATCTACCAATGACATCTTGTCGACCCACTAAGGCTTCCTGAGATTCCGGTTTAGAGCACAGATTAGGAATCAGCGAGAAGAGACTTGATGCTGGAAAATTCATGCAGGATACAAAGACAATACCTTATAAAATGTTGGGAATGATAGAGTACAAGAGGTCTCTGAAACTGGAGAAAAGTCAGCTACAAATCCTGATGGTTGAGTTCTTCGGTCCCTCCAGTCTGCCAAGCGCGAGTTCATCGTGTTGTTGGTTCTAGTGCGGTTTCCGCCGAGAAACACGAGAAGACGCAGCTCACGTGCAACCTGTGTTGCTCTCAGAAGTCTGGCTAATATGACGGGGCGTGTACGGTGAATACTTCGTGCCAGTTCAAGGGCTGACGACTGCAATGCATGTAGAAAGAGTCAGTGTTGCACGCATCATCCAGTCAATTAGTATATTTTACTATCGATAGCCACAAAATAGCCCAAGCATTTTGACGGGGGCTTAAGAACAACCCGCGACGGAGATTCAAGAGGCTGGAGGGTCCACCTATGGCCATAAACTCTGCGCAGATCCTGGGTGACTCACTAGTATCCGGTCGGGTAGCCTCGAAAATCGCTTCTGTCCCATCGACCGGTACCGGATTCGTGAGCGGCATTGATCCAAGAGATACCGAGACAAGTCCGCCGCCTACAGTTAAGGTTCGAGCAAATGGCACTCATTTGAGGAAACCCTAGCTTTGCAAGGATGGATTATTATGGGAATCATCAGTTTTCAGTTGGATACTGCGACCAGACTTCCTTTCTATGGAACACCAATCTTCAGCATCAGCTACAGCTTTTCAGTCAACTTAGGGAAAACACGCAAAATATTCGCACTGAATGGCAGTTGCTTGGAAAGGGCCAAAATAAATAATATGGATAAATCTGGCGGCTCTGAACTGTCTAGTAAACCAAGACTGTATATAGGTAGGCGGTAGGGCTGAGGAATAATTAATCATGTTGATAGATATGGTGGTGATAATGGTTGTTGATCGTGGTAGAAATGCAAGGTGTTTGAGTTAGAGTGTACCTTTGGAGGTGAGCTGGAAAGCAACCAGATTGGGGTCTACCTACGGAGCGAACACGGATGTGACTACTATCGTTCAGACTTTGACCCGGAGCAGGGACCATGTTTATCTGTAAGCGTAGGAATTGTGCGGTATTTGATACGCGTTTGCCGCTACTACTTTACGCTTACTGTAACGAGCAGGCCAGGGCAACCAACTGCCCTGCAAAGGAAAAGCTTCGTTAATGATGCACCTGCATCGTTATCCCCTGTTTTGCAATACACAGCCGGCCAGCACCCCAACTGGTTGAGCGGTAACACCTACTAGGTCAAGCAAATCGAACCGTATTCTTCACTACCTTGCTGCTCGCAACTACTAATCTTTTGCTCGCTCAAGTGCTACAACCCAAAGAACAAGCTACCTTTAGCAACTTACCACCCGCAATGCAGCCCCAGTTTGTCTTTGTTACTTTCTTTAACGCCGTCGTCTTGGCCAGTCCAGCCATTAAGCAGGCTGATGAACTCGATCAACCGAAGCCTGTTGGGCGTTGAAAGAGCGGGAGCGATATCGAAGACAGCTGCTGCTCGTCAAACAGATTAAAATGCCAACTAAGTTGCAAGAAGTTTTTAAAAATCTGCTATGGCGTAAAGGGCGCAGCTGTCCTTTGAGTAGACCTAAGGGTCATGTGGCGGAGAGGGCTGTATTCCCATAACAATTACCTCAAAAGTAGCAATATTTTCTCGTTGCTATATGTATGAGATAGGAAGTCTGACTAGCCAGCTAGCAGCAAGGTGACGTGGGATATGCTCCTTGTTGTGGCTCAAGTAAGCGACCCAACATTGGTGGACATGGCTGGTGCTGGCCTGCACCTCCCAACTCCTGCAGCCTCCAATTGTCCTTGTTCTAACACATCTAGTTCACAACAAAGAATACACTTCAATCTCTTTAGAGAAGTTCTGTGGGTATATGCATCTAGATGTAGTATGATTTCTCAACAAGTAGTGCCTCTGAACGTTAGTCGTAGAGGCCACCTAATCCAGCGACCATCACTCGCACCAAAGTCAAACAAATGCGAACGCAACGTGTTCTCCAATCAAGCGCACTTGTGGATTGCTGACTGTTTCCATGCCCCTAATAGGTTCAAGTCCATGCTTGCGCGGCGCCGCTGCTGACACGCAAATCTGCATGAGCTGATAGGTGTTACCTGCAGGAGCCTACTTTTCTGGCAACCCCAGCGAATCAGCATAGGCTTGGAATGAGGGGTTTGTGATACTGGCCACATATAGAAGCACGAAAGTTAGACGCCAGTTTAGGCAGAAATTGAGGCGTTTTGATGCTGTCAAACCCGTATGTATTGGGCATTCATGATCATTCCTGACGATGAATCCTATCCCCAAAGGCAGTGCGCGAACCCAGGAAAGATGCTGAGACAATGCAGTTTGAGTTAGAAGAAACCTATTCATATCGTGTGACCTATGTTATATCGAAGCCACAGAGGCGTTTCAGAAAGAGCCAGCCCGCGTTACCGGATAACCATCGAGCTTCTCCAGTGCCATCTCCGCAACCTGCAAATTCCCAAGGCTTAATGCGTCCTCCTGTTCCCTCAGCAGTATATGGCGACCGTACTCTTTGAGATTCCTCGAAATATTATTGATCTCAAGTCATTACATGTATTTTAAAATAGTGATTGAGAGTGGTGCTTAAAGCTTGTCGATGACCTTCATGCTTCCATCTTCAAAGACCTTTACCCGTGGTTTCTATCATTTTGGTAATTAGCACGCATCGTCACAGATCTCCAAAGAGACGCACGGGCATCAAAGGATGAACATACGCTATCAATGTCGTGATAACCCTCAAAGCGGCAATAGTTGTGGTTGCAGTCGCGAAGCCATCTGCAATGATGCCCGGAGGTACAACCAATATCGTCGCAATCTGAGCCCATACTGCAAGGTATACCGCGGGACTAATGATGTCAGCCTGAAGATCGGGTATATATATTGTCATTGAAATCAGAATTCACCTTCTGCTTCAACACCAGCAGCTCTCCCGGGCTCAGCTTCTCGCCGTGAACGTAGTGACATTCTGGGTTCTTGCAGTTGTTGTGGAGATGATAGTTGTTGCAAAAATTTCCTTCTTTGCTCATCCGCTCCTTGAACCTTTTCTCTGCTGCAGGATCTATCTTGGGCAGCGGCTCGTCGACGCGCTGACTGTCTTTGTTGAGCAGATAATATTTGCGGACCGAGGCCTTCTTAGCAGTCGATATGTCAATGGTCTTGGGTGTCGACGGAGTTTTGGTCACCGCAGACCACGGAGTAGATGTCCGCGCGCCGTTCGAGGGTGGACTATTTACGCGCAAAGAGTTCTCAGTTGAGGGTTTCAGAGGTAAACTGTTATGAACTGGCTTGGTATTGGCCGTGTTAACCGATGGCGTAACGGAGGCGGCAGTTGGGACGTCGAGGGGTGGCGGCATGCTCGTGATGACTGGGCGTTGAAATCTCTCAGGCAACTTCTCCGACATGAATACAGACTTGAAGCTAATCCTGTGGAAGTTGAGCTGTTTGAAGCCCTCTTCGGCCGGTGTTGTCTCGATTAGGGTGAACTTCTTGGCCACCTTGTGGTCCAGCTTGTAGGGCTCGAGGACAGGAAGATATCCATTATCATGGCAAGGACCAAAGAAAATATGTTTGCACTGAGTCACACGAACCATGACGCGAAGCATCTCGCGGATCTTGTGGTCGGCAGACTCCTTGCCAGAGCCGACATCGATGAAGCTGAAAAGGGGCTGCGCGCGGCCGAAGCCGCGTCCGAACTCGGCAAGGGTCCTCTCCGTCGACGTGTTTGGAATGACACAAGAGGAGTGGAGCTTCTTGGCGAGTCCGTCAACGTTGAGGACTACCTGTACAATGATGTTCCAGTCCTCGCTGGCGGCCTCGGGATAGGCATCGGTAACGTAATTTTTAATCTCTGTAAACAAGAGATACCCGGCTTCGGCGCCGCCATCGGCGCCCCTCTTTAGTAAAGCCTCTTGAAAAACCGCGCCGTCACCATCAATAATCACAAAGACAAACGGATTAGATTCCTGCATATCGCATCAGCCGTTTCGTTCTTATATGAGTAATTACCTGATGGTCATGGGAATAAAGAAGAGTGAGAGGTTGGAACATACGTTAGCCTTATTTAGAGAAGCTACTTCTCGCCCCAGATTGTTGGCCTTGGTCTGCCACATCCGGCGAGATTCGACCTCATTACTATAATCGTCGCACTTTTCACGATACAGCGCTTGGAGCTGGCCGTGGCGGACAAGGAGCTCCTGCGATACCAACAGGTCAGCAATCTCCTCTGGCTTGACAGGGAAGTACGCGGTAGCCATAGTCACTGCCATTATAAAGCAAGGAAGACGTATGGAAGGACTGGGCCAATCCCACCTGAATCATTTGATCGCGAGTGAAGTCATTGCGTCGGAATACTTCCAGCTGCTGGGCATACTGGTTTAAGTCCTCTAAGTGGTCCATGTCGCTACCTACATGTGTTTGTGCGCCAACAAGCCACGATGCGCCCGAACTTAAGGTTTTAGTTGGATGTCGCTGACGGATTGAAAGTTGGCGTGGTAGGAGAGTGAGAGACTGGGTTGGAGGTGAGACGGAGAAGCGAGGTGAAGTCGATTGAAGTTTTTGTGATGAACCAGGAAAGATACTATTACTTAAGCTTGATATGTGGGGTCTCCAAAAATCGGGACCTTCTCTTGCGTCAGGCCATTCAAAGCGCTGGAAGGGTCATTGTTCTAGGGGCACAGAACCCCTCATCAAAGTGCCAAACCCTGCGTAGTATCCTTTTAGTGTTTGTCCTGAACAGATCAAGATCATGTCTGGAAGGAGACAGAAAGGTCAGAACCAGCCTATCTGTTGTGAATACGGCAATTAATGGTGGAGTGTTCTTTCCAGACCTTGTATCTGTTTGTTCACCTGCGGGGATCCGCAGACCTTGCTATGTGTACTCCAAACATGGTGCGCACTGTTTTGTCCCCTGGTGGAGCTTGCTCTTTGTCAGTCTGTGCTCCCCGGTTGTCTCCTCACCTCAATCAGATGATGCCTTGACGGCATCAGAATGAAGTATGATGTGACAGCCAAACGGGGGATATAATTTTTTATTAATGGCGTATTCCAAAACCTACCTGTCTATACTCTAAGACGAGACGGCGGAAGCCATCAAGGTGGCCTGAAACGAAAGCTAGTAGCTGCAGTCAGCCGTGCCTTATGCCAGCAGTGTAAAAACCATAACTAGGCAAGCAAACAGCCCGATGAATAAACGCTAGTGTAAGCAAAAGGCGAGATACACCGTTGGTGCAAGCTTTGGCTTTAACATACACGGAAGACCTGGGTTCTACGATTTCCTGTTTGTACCAGTCTTTGTACTAGCCGCTTGTATCCACTCTCGGCAAGCCATTTAGTATAACAAAACCACGACTACTAACCCCACTCCTTTATACCGCAAGCTTTTCTCTCTTCAAACTATGAGCCATAGAGTATGTAGATCCCGGACCAATGTCGGACCCTTCAAACCAAAAAATGAAGAATGACACAAGGTTTCCCGGGCTTTCCCATTACGAATGAAAATCAAACGATGGCGGAGATTCCTCTGAGTTTCGCTGTCAGACATGAACAGCTCACTAACCAAAGCATGCTGACGGATCGTCTAATCACTACGTGGAAAGAAAAACAGAGCAAAAATCCACAAACCAAGCAGCTTTGAGATAAACGGAGCACCTTTGTAGTGCATCTATACTGTAGCAACTTTCGATGGGTACACGTAGACGCGAAGTTTCATTACAAGATGTGCGCGTCTAGCGAGAGTAATGTTTTAGACTTGATGTTTGCGGGTGTCTCTGCCCAATTTATGATTTGCATGACTGCTAAGGGTCACAGCCAACTTGATCCGATGCAATATTCATTTCGCGCTCTACCACCATATTTCAGCCCTCTCTCCGCCGCTACGTCTGGACCTTTTCTGGCCAAAGCAACACACTGTTCCTAAAGGGAATTTATGACTTGTCAGGGTGGCAGAAAGGAATTTGACGGCACAGAAGGCTCTTTCGCTTGAAGGTGCAGAACTTTTATAACAAAGTTCAGGATAGGGAGTTAAGGTAAGGCTTTGGACGGTTGAGAATGGTTGGATGCTTGAGTACCTCTGGCAATGTAAAAGGTTGATGAAGGGGAAGTTAGCCGGAGCCCATTGCCCTTTCAATAGAATTAAGAATATTCAGCATTACTTAAATCACTAACAAGTCTTCTGTAATGATCCACAGCAGCTAACACACAGTTTGGAAAGGTCGTGTTTAGTGGGTCTTGGAGCTGCCGGTGAATAGTCGACAGACCAACGTTACAAGTCGGCAGACCTTCTTTTAGACGGCTGAGGATGCTTTGATACCTAGATCAAATTACATTCAGAGAGCAGATGCTAGAAGTCATTTAATCTTTGATGATAATATTCGAGTCGTAAAGAAATTGCCTTAGCAGCCCCAAATATGAGTATTCTCTGACCGTTTACCACCATATAACAAAGAAAACCTCCCACTCCCATCAAGAAGGAAGAAACTGTGTCAAACAGTGATAAAAACCCCGAAATTACCCATTTCACTTACTGACAGTTCCTTGAGAGCTTTGAGAACCGCAGGCGGCGTAACCTCATCAATGGATGCCAGAGGGTAATGGGAGGAACCGTAGAACTGATCCTGTTGTATCGACCTCCGCTATAAGAAACTACTTAGGAGACTTCTTGAAGGTGACAATGGAAATGTTTTGGAAGCGCCGAGCCAGATTTTTCAAGGCTTTGTAAGCATGAATAGGTATATATGGGTGAGCTTTCATCAGCCGCTGTCCTGTATTATCTTATTCTACTCCTTGAACTGCGGACAGGTGACTGGGTCCACGGTGCGAGCAAACCATATCAAAACTGAAAAACAGACAGCAGCTATCATGCCTTTCAAGAGGAGAAGAAAAACCCATATTGTAAATAAGAGAATTGCTTGTAGATAAACTTGTTGTGACGCTCATTGAAGTAGATGAAACGGTAAATAAAGCCGATTAGCATAGCGTTTAAATATATTCGTCAGACTTTGGAGCTAAACCGTCTTGACCAAGTGACTGGTATACCTCCCTTACGTTTCCACCGTCGAGCTAGCAATAGTTCACCCTGAGAGTCAGATATTAGATCAGTAAATCCTGCTCTGGGCTCTCATAGCAGCAAGTTTCTTGGGCGTGTTTGTCTCCACGCCCTTGTAGTCTGCGGTCTGGCCAATCTTCTCCCATGGAGCAAAAGCCTGCAGTATTTGATTAGCGTCATGTACATCTGAAATATTGTTGTTAACGCCCAGACTTACGTTGTCGACGTTGCGCAGAGGCGCAGCAAGTTCGGGGAAATGTCTGCATAGTACGTCCTTCATGGTGTTGTTCTGCACCCAGTTGATGCCCTCTCGGGTGTAAATTTCGGGGCACCAGCCGTCGCCGGCAAGGAAACGATCAGACTGGATACGGCGAGTCGCCATGAGGATGAAAACACGGAAGGCGGTGTCACTGAAACCGAAGCCCTCAGGTAGGGGCTCGCTGAGGGTGCCGACAAGAAGGTCTACCTTCTCCAGGTCACCTTGGTAGACGTCACTGAGCTCGGCAGCCAGTTTGACATCACCGCCAGTGAGGTCAACGAAACTGCGTGCGGGGGGCATGTGGAAGAGGCGACGGAAAGCGTTATAGCGTGGGACACCGCGCTCACGATCACGGAGAATGTCGATGGTACCCATGTCGATGTGTCGGCCCTCGGGAAAGTCCTTGTCACCCGGGATTTGTAGGTCACGTAGGAAGTTGGGCATGTTGTGGGCGCGAATGGCACCTGGGTAGTTGACGCCAAAGGAGTAGAAGGCATCAGCAATGTTGAGTCCCAGGCCACCCTTGAAGTCGGCTTTAGGGTCCATAGGCTTACGAGCGGATTCGAAGGCGACATCCTTGATGGGCAGGGTACCCTCGTGTTTACCATTCTTGACGTTGAAAAAGGCGATGTTGTCGGGGATGAGAGGGTGGAGGCGGTAGACGGAGACGAACTCTTCCGTGAGGCAATACGGAGCGCCGTCGTGGTTGACGCCGGCGCCGGGAATACCGGAAATGACTGTGGACTTGTTGTCGAAAGCCCGTCCGAACACGTGCCAAAGCTGGTTGGGGCATGGTTAGTTATCTGTCATCAAGATCAAGCGATGTCAACATTTAAAGCCTCATCCGACTTACTTTTTCGCCCAGCAGTCCCCACCAGTTGGCGTCCATACCAACCTGCAGGGCTGGGTGCTGCAAGATACCAGGTGTCCACTCAACAGTGTGAATCTTGGCCATGAGAGCACAGTTGATTAATCTGGCAGTGTCGAAGATCTTGTCACTGGACCATGTGGGATTCGTCATGTGAAGCTGCTTGGCGATAGCATTGTGCTCGAGAGCGAAGAGGGTGTGTAGAAGCTCCAGTCCGAGCCACCAATTCTGACGGAATCCTGTTGCAGGGATGCCATCCGCCTCACGGGGCAGGAACTGCTCTCCCTTCTTGCTCGTAACTGAAAGCTGACCAGGGGTTGATACGTCACAAGTGGCCCTGAGCGCTTGGGTTTCTTCTTCGGTAGATCCGTAGATCTGGGAAGCGTCCCACCAATGTGTGCATTCGTTCTCGTACGCAGGCGTCTCATAATCTTGATCTGAGAGAGGTTTGGCCCTCTTGGAGCGGGGAATGTCCATTCTTTCATCGGACCACTGATCGCCGTGGCCCAAGGGAATGTCCACATAAGTCTCCTTGTTCGTATCGAAGAAGTGCTGTGCCCAGTCGTGTACCTGGAATTGAATCCACGCAGCGGCTAGCAGGTTCACAATCGTTGCTGGCTTGAATTCGCCGTCGGGTCTTGCAAGAATCTTTTCCGAGACTACTCTCGGGTTGGGTGTGAGAAGCTCCTTTTCACTTGGCGGCTTGGTGTGCTTCCTCGGCACATTTCGGCCGAACCTCATACCTGCGCAGCCCATCTTTGGCGCACCGAGGTCATTGAAATAGCCATCAGAATGTCTGGCGGAGATGAACTTGGAGTCTTTCATAGGGCATTCTTTCTTGGTACCCTGGAACTCGGCGTTGGGATAAGTGTCGTACAGGTTCTTCTCCTGAAGCTCGTAACGCAAAGCGAGGAGGTTGAAAACACCGAGCCATTTAGGAAGTTTGTGCCAGTGGACGAAGGCGTTGACGATCTTCCAGAAACGAATGTAGATGGCTTTGAAGATGGGCGTGAGGACATGCATCACAGCAAGGAACAAAAAGTGAAGCGTGGCGAAGAACTGCTTGCCGGTGGCAAGCGCCCCCTCAACGATCATGGAAGTCATCGTTTCCCAATTGTTTGAGTTGGTGAGTGAGTAGTGAGTGAGTGTTGGTTGTCCGAGGATGAGAGAATTGAACCCTTTTATGGTTTTTCCTGAAGCCAGCATCTATACTAACAGTGATCAAGCTTTCTTTGGAATAATTTCGAAAATTACATGTGCAAAAATGGACCATCCCTTGGAGGCTGAATCGACCCAACTTGGTCGTACTTCAAACATCACCAAATCATGTCAACACTATGTTCGCACGTCGACGAACCCGAGAGGAGCTGCAACCAGGAAGTGTATAAAGTTCGACCACTCAGACATGCCTTAACCCAAGTGGAACCACACCGCTTCTCAAATTTCTGTCCTTGCGACATTGGTTCCGAGAAGCGCTAGAGCGAAGTGCGACGAAGGTTATGCAAATATGGGATTGAATGCTGCCCATTCTGAATGGTAAGACAAATGTGCAGAACGCAAAACGCCTATATGATTCAAATTTTGAAACCTGGCCACTAAAGATCGTTAAGAGTGGGTTGTCTAGCTCAGCGTGCCGTGCCGTGGCCCGCTTCATGTTTGTACGCAAGCGTTTTTGGCGTTTCCAGGAAGGGTGAGACAAGCAGCGGACTATCAGCCCCGCGCTTGTGTGAGGGACAACAGTCGCGTGCTTTTGTGGATGGAAGCGTCCCTTAACAGCAGGCTTAGGTGACATTGTGAATCCCCGTTCATTCAACACCGATCGAAATATGAACCAAGTGGAAGCTGGATCAGTTTTGTTTCTAGATTAGAACAACCGCCAAACGCGGAGTATTAGAATAAACGACAATGGCATCCCGAGATGACATGTGCCACTGTGATTTTGGATGGTGATGTTGTCTTACACTTGACAGATCGTTGATCAAGTTTTGATTTAACGCTTATTATGATGTAATAGAATGATCCTAAGACCTAAGGAGTATCATGCAACTCTTTGCAGGAATAGACAGAATGTATGGCACGCCCAGAGTTCTCTGCCTCAAAATGTGATACAGTCTGGGGTATGCAATTGCCAGCCCAATGCAAGCAGACTATCCCACACCACTGTGAGTCACATACTTCATGGCTCAAATTGATTCAAATCCAAGTCAGTAGCAATTTGGGGAGTGGCAGGATGGAATAAGCAAAGCACTTCTAACTAGCCCTCGAACATGGGAGGATAGATTGGCATGTGTTTTTCCCCCTTCATTTACCGAGGCTCATCCGGAGAATAGATCTGGAAGATGGATTTTCAATGCCTGCATGGCTTAGTTGAGGGCTCAACGACTGCATGTGTTGGTAGACTTTAAAGGTAAAGGATTTCTTAACTAGCATAGACCTTTCTGGAATTCAGTTATGGTCAGTTCATAGAACCCGCCAATGACTCTTCCAAGTTGGCACGGAAGACCCAAATCAGTCTTTTGCCTCAGATTCAAGCCGGAACGTCATCCTTAAACCATACCTGTTGGCTGAGACAATATGGAAGGCTGCAAACCAAGCCATGCTCGGTCCGCATCTAACATTAGCGGATACATGATAGCCACTATTTAGCCTATTTGAGTATCGACAGTGTGAACGAATCAGATGAAGCGAAATGCTGAACCAAGTAATAAGTGGCGACGCCGTCCCCGCACTGTTTACGCGGGGCACAACGGCCCGCTTGTGTCGCTGAAAACATCAGTGCTGAGTAGTTGTCAAGGTTTAGCAACGGATTTTGGCGACTAATCTCAGTCTCTTAGAATGCCAACCGATGGGGCTTAAGTCAGTCCACGACTTTACCCCTTCCGGAGAGTCTCAGCCAGTGGTTCAAAAGGGAACATTGCATGATTTCATCTTGGACAAATTTCAAGCTTTGCCTGGTAAAAAGATCACCAGGAAGGAAGCCAGATGTCCCAACAAGCCTTGCCGATGGGTTTCGTGCACATTGGCTGACCACTAGCAACTGGCATATAGCCTTTGATGACAAGAAGATCGTAGCCGAATGAAGTAAACAGAAGCAGCCGTGATCCGGAAACTTAACTATCCGTACACATCCATCCGTAGATCTTACAGCGTTTCTAGGAGAAATGTGACCTCACGTTGCAAGCATCGACTGTTTATCGATACAGGAAAGGATCGACGAACTACATCGCTCGATGAGCGTCAGTTAAGCCACTAGAAAAAGGCCCCAAATTCTGTTTCGTTCTCCAGCCGATCCGGCTCGTACCAAAAACGGACTGCATAGCCTAGAGGCTTCGGGCCGGTGTGGAATTACAAGGACACAAGAATTCCGATCCCTATTGAAAGCAATCAGATTTCTCCGTGATGTAACCATAGTTCAACAGGTTGGCTTTTGAGATACATGCCTGGCTGCATGGGCCCCTAGTTAATCAGATTGTTAGTAACATTGATTTGCTGATAAAATGTAAGAGTCGAACTGCAAGAGGAGTGTGCAAATGGCTAATTTGGAGTTTAAATATTTCGGCTTATATTTGAGATTTCATCCAGTGCGGAAAGACATTGAAGATGGCAACCCCACTGGACTACTTACCTTCACTTCAAAAACGCTGTTTACTATATTTCCAAGTCGTTCAAAATGTCTGAAAAATCAATTGGATATGCATACCATTGCTCTAACATTGGTTTACCCCGCAGAAGGGGATTTGACGTCTTGCCGTGCCCCGATGGGCAGTTGTCCATCCTGGACCAGTTCTATTGTCACTGGAATGTGTACGTTAACCAGAGGGATAGGGGACTCTCTCGACCTAGAATTGACGCATAATCACAAGGGGTATGTTCCCTAGTATCTGACCGTGGAGTACATTAAATTGATTCTTAAGAAGTATTTGAGTCTAAGTGGCTAGCTCACAAGCTACAAAAGCTACATTCACTGTGTTCGGGCATAGGACACTGAGTTTCATTTGTGAGACTTTGACAGACATGATGGCATGCATCATTAAATTTCCAACCATTCTACTCGATGAAAGCACTTTTGGCGCCTCAAATGGCGTCCACTCCACGTCTCAGTTAGCAACGACATTCCTCATGGTAATTAGGAATCGTTCGGTCTGTCGCACCAGCTAAAATTTTGTGTGATTCCACATTCCTGCGTGTTGGTAAACAACACTGATTCAATTTGGTGAATGCGAAGTCAAAAAATAACTCGTTTTGCAACGGGCAACGGGTTCCTGGCTCAAAAGGGACCGTTCCCCCGCGAAACCTCGCTACAGGTACTCAGCTTCTATCCTGTCAAATTTTGTCTGACATGCGTTACCTCGGCCTACTTGCGGTAGCCACTGCTGCCTTTACAGTGACATCCAAAGCGTCTATTCTATCCCAACGGAAGGACGTGTCATGTCTCTGTGAAGACGAGGCTTGGGAAATTACAAGGAGGTGGCTTGGCCTCTTCTCAACGGGCGGCCTCTCAAGCAAGGAGGAGTTAGCCACGATCGTATCTCCGAATATAAAAAGCTACGACGATACCTTTGTTCCGGTCGTAATCGGGATTGATGAATTATGGGACGTTATCACTGAGCCGGGCGACAGAACCACAACCAATGAAACGCAGACCCCAAATTTTCTGCTTCACTCTTGTGATCAGATTGCTTTCAACTGGAAATACACTGCTGTCACGACTGGCATTAATTCGTGAGTCCAGCTTCGACCGTTTTGGTGTATGCAAGCTTTCTGACGATGACTTCTGTAGGACCGTTCCAGTGGGAACGCCTGTGTACGTCACTGGAAACGACATCCTTCGGATCGATTTGAACACGGGGCTGGTTTCTAATGCAACTTCATCTGGTGATTGGATACTGCTTGCTCGCCAGCTTGGAGGGACTTGCAGTATCTAGACCTGTTTATTCTCGGGAGATCATATCATGTGAGATGATTGAAACCTGCAAGAGATATGGCAGGCTCGTGATCGAAAGGAGGCAAGAAAGTAATTCCGGAAGAGCCAATAGAAGAAGTTGACTAACAATCATTTGATACATTAAAGCACTCTGCTGACACTTCAAGGATGATACACGTTCGACCATCTACCTGATATTGAGCCAACAGTTTACTCATCTTCGCTCCTGAAGCAAGAGACGGGATCGAAGGTTAACAGGAGACTGGCTCGAATTAGAAAAATGTCGGATCTTCCATACTCTATCCTAAAAGATGATGCAGCCGCATATAGGGACATAATTTCTGTGTAAGACGAGTTCATTATGACACATGTACATGCCATATAGCTGGGTCTGAGACATCCCCATCACGGCCTGGTAGCTGTGCTGGGTACTGTGGTTGACGCAGGGAAACAAATTTGAGGCCGTCTTCTCGTCTCGCGGCACTCTGCCAATCTCAACCGATTTGTTCAAGTCTTGCTGTTCTCGTTTGTGCTATGGATGGAGAGAACATCCAGCAGCGGAGTGGTTACGTGACATAGCATCAACGATTTGGAGGCTGAGCGATTGGTACACCGCTCAATGGAGTGACTCGTGTCCAAGCAGCTGATGGACTATTCATATTTGTATATTAACACCAGACCAGTAGTTTATTCACACCAAGAAGCTACACAGCGTTAAGAACAGGCAAAACCCCAGTTACGCCGTGTAAGAGGAGTAAGCAGAGTTTTGTTCAGGTATTTGGTATTACACGTAATTTGCGAAAACATGTCTTCGAAACAGGGTTAGATCGATGGTCCCCCGGCTTCCCTGCAACCAACAGGGCCAACGGGCCAGCCGGGCGAACAGAACCAACAGATCCAAAAAGAGAAGAGTCCCCTCACAATTGTTTGTCATGATGGCAAAGCTTGAAGCGTACATTGAGGCCAATGAAAAGTCAACTACCTGACCATATCTCAACTAAATACACTTTGCTAAGGCTTCATCAGTCAAGTATAGCGAGGAGAAGGCCGTTGTTTGGAAGGAGACTGCCGCCAGATGAGCCCTTACTGAGTTTTCCAGACTCGAATTCCAGGTGCATTCAAGAGTTATGAAGTAGTCTCATACAACTATCGCTTTGCGAAACAAGTCAGATTCATTCCCAACAACCCCCAAAGTATTATAACGTGCTACTCGTACAGTGTCACTAACAAATCTTCGATCACCATCATACAGTCGTTATATCTAGTACGGCGCTTGATATCAGGCTTATCTTTAAGACACAAATACAGTTGTTGTATCAACTCTTTTTGTTATGTAATAATATTGGATGAGTGGGCAATTAGTTTATCAGATCTGATATAGACATGCCACATATTCTTGGTCTTTGTTGATGCTCTATTTCCTCCGCCATCCGAAGAAGGTTGAGAACATGCGCTCTTTCTGTCCAGGTGTGAACTCGCTTGTGCTATCATTCAAAGTCAGTGTGAAGCCTTCAACCGATTGAAAAGTCTTGAGGCTAACAAGAACAATCGGAAAAAAGACTCACCAAGCATCTGCCGTGTAGCCCATAAAGTTGTGAACGGGATCCAGGCCAGCAAGATCCGGGCAGGTATCCGAGTCGGTAGGACAGCCATATACCTCCCACCTCTGGGCAGGTGTATCCGCAACAAAGTCACCCGGGTTGTCAGAGCAGCCGCCAGCGAAAGTGTGGTTGAGACCGAACCAATGGCCGGCCTCGTGGACAGCGATATGACCCTGGTTCCATTCCTCAAAGCCGCCCTGGTCGACGGTGAAGCCTGGCATGGTCATAGCGCTGATCTGGCAGGAGTCCAAGTAGAAGGTCAAGCTGTCAGGGTCCGTAATGACCGTGGGGAACTGGCAACGACCCGTCGCGCCGGGTGAGTAGCTGCTGTAGAAGTACAGGTTCATGGCGTCATATCCACCCTTGCGGGTAGCCTTGAGGTAGGCATTGTACTCCTCCTCGTGATATTCCCAGCCGTTTCCCTCGTTGATGAGGAAAGCCGATCCCGTAAGGTTGTCAACAACGCGCTCGGTCGAGTTAAGCCGCAGGTTGATGTTGTACTTCGCGTAGGTGTCGTGCAAGACTTTCCACTGGGCGTCAACAATCTCGTCAGTGACAAGATCCGATTGGGCCTCAGTGCTGGCGATGTGGAAGTTGACATCTACAGTGAAGTTGCTGGGGTAGTTCTGGCGACGGATAGTCTTGTCAGACAGCTGGAAGGCAGTATCAGAGATGACACCATCGTTAGAGACCTGACATCCGCGGCGGATGGGGGCGAGCTGCTCGGCATGGGGCAAGGCGCTGACGAGGCCCAATGAGGCCATTCCAAGGACTAAACTCTTCATATTTGACAGTGGTTGCACTTGGTGTTGAATTCCCAACAATTATCGTTAATGAGACGACACAACGTTGCCGGCTTTTATCTTTGATTTCTCCAGGCTGATATCTTGGCTGGACGCAATCCGGATAACTCAGTTGTATCCACTTTCCTCGTATTGCTCCCATGTTCATTTAGCCCAAGTTCCCATTGGTTGACAAAATCATCCATTCCTGGTTGCCAATGCCGTAATCCCTGTTGGCAAAGGCCATGGACCCATCACCGGAAATACTTCTGGGATTGCGATCGTTGATCAGTTTACCCCAACTGCTACCTTCCCAAACAAGCATAATTTGATGCTTAGCCCAAACGACGCTTTTATCATCGGACCTGAGCTTAACTTGTTGCTTCTGCTTCTCCATGCATCGCACAGGGAAACCTCCTCGTATCTGATATAGAAATTTGGCCAAGGTCGAAAATCTGGCTGATTAATTAGCTTTCGTTGATACTGAAAAGCGTGGGTGTGCTGACACGAACGCTGTGGCTATGACATACCTACATGATCCCGCACTGCCCTCGATTAACGATTACTCCTTTACTAATCCTGCGATGATATCTTCCCTCCAAGCCCATAAGGCAGCGTAAGTCGCGCCCGGTCCAATGACAATGTTTCCCAGCGAAGTGGCCATCGCAGCCCCGACCGCTGTCCGCGTTGTTACGTATCCAAGCCGCCGCAGCTCATACACGCTGTATAGGCACCAGGTCGCAACCGCACCGAAACACAAAAGCATGTCATACTTCCAAAACCCGCTGATGTCGTGTCCCAAGCTCATTGACGCAACAGTCGGAAGATCGAAGAACGCCTTGACAAACGATACCGAAGGGCTGAGGTGTGCGTATACAAAAACGCAGATGTGTAGGACTGCAGTGGTGAAAAAGCAAAGGGCGTAACCGATTCGCAAGGAACCAAGATCCTTTTGATCGAATATTTCCCAGTCCAAAGACTTTGTGGTGGGCGACACATACCGGAGAATACCGGAGAAGACCCAGGTCAGTATAGAGACATAGACGGGAGAAGGCTGCCAGAAGGCTATAGCGTTCTGTTGTGCCATGTTGTCTCCGTACTGAGTGAACATAAGAATGGTCGGAACGACGTATCCAAAACAGAGAGCTGCTGGTAAAACCCTCGCGACTGAGGATGGAATCGGCCGGCCAGTGGGACGAGTGTAGACTTTCCTATCAGTAGTGTACAAGCTGATGAGGTAGTATACGGGTGCGACTTTTCCGATTCCAACGAGCTGATAGACCGCGTATAGCGAAGCCCACGACACGAGCGTCAGCTGGTTGCCGTTTCGATAGCCTTCAACTGTCCAGATGTAGATCACTGGGATCAAATTCATCAAGAAGTAGAGGCACTGAAGTCTCTTGTTGAGGTCAGAGCCGGAGACTTGTTCAGAAAATGCCCAGACCAGGAGCGATAGAATGGAGTCGACTTGAGACAAGCCAGTGAATTCCTTTTTCAAGGCGTAACCCAGAAAGTCATTGGTTCCTGCAGGTGCCTCTGGTAATAAAACCAAGACCTTCTGGGCTAGGTAAAGAATGCCACATAAAGCGACTCCTACAATAAGCTTGGGCAGAGTCAATGGGTTAAGAGGTCGGCTGACGAGCTCATCGAGGAAGGGCGTAGTGTATACTCGTTTGGGCACGTCCAGAAGGTCTACTTTGTGTCCGTCCTCAATGTTAGTGCTCCAAGGATCCTGTTTCTCGTCAATCGACATTTTTGGGACAATGTATCGCCCAACAAACTCCAGCCATGGGCTCTCCATTGCGGCAAATCGTTGCTCGCTGTGAGAAGCCCTTACAAGGTCCCAAACTCGCGGTTTCCGTTGTTTCTGCGTTTCGCAAAAGAGGTCATGAATTTGGTTGGTCGTGATGCCGGATGGACAGGCTTTCAGCATGGTTGCCAAGTTGTTTACCAAGACCGCGGCGGTTTCGATGGCGCTATTGCCTCCTTGACCAGATATCGGTTCAAGCTAGCATTCGTCAGTGAATGGAACCAATAGTAGGTTTGCCGAAATATTTTGGAAAGGCATGTACTTTGTGTGCCGCATCCCCGATCGTTATGATACGGTTGAAGTGCCACTTTTCAAAAACATATTCTGGAAGTGGGGTAAGAACAGAGGATATTTTGGCAGAGTACAGGTCCCGAAAAGTAAAACCGCCGGTGATCCTGTCGTTCTGATGCTCCTTGACCAGAACTGCTTCATCTTCTTTAGTGAAGCGTGGGAGATCCGGGCCATAGTGCGTCTTGCCCATGTTGACGAAGAGAAACCAGTAAACTCGACTCTTTGGGCCGGAGATTACTAGGTAGGAGAATTGCTTGCCAAAATTGGTTTGAGTGGTTCTGGCCTGCCAGTTCTCTACCAAGGAGATACCGAAAATGCATTTGTAGACCGTCGGAAGGCACTCTGATTGAGGCGTAAGTCTGGGGACTTCGTAGAGTTCAAACATTGTGCGCATACCTGTATGTTCTGAGGCAGGAATATAGCCAGGCTCAAGTTTGTCCGCAAGTCGCCACATCTCGCTTCGCACCTTGCTGTGAATGCCGTCTGCCCCTACCAAGATGTCTCCCGAGTACGATTCCCCGTCATTCGTTTCCACTCTGACTCCAGACGACTCAAGTGACACTCGCGTGACCTTTTTGCTGACGAGAATTCTGTCTTTGCTCTTAAGGTTTCTCCACAGCACGTCAAGGATCATTTGCCGATCCACGAAAATAACATCATAACCGTGTCTGCTGTACGTGTTAGTTTGTCTCCTGTCTCTATCCCCAAGTTCATGCTTACCGTCCCCTCATCTGGTCACCGATACCATGGTATTGACTGATTGCAATGCCCTTGGAATCGCAAAGGGACGTTGTGAAAGGAGGGCTGTCAATAAGCTTTCTGATCTCGTCATAAAGTCCCAATTGGTCAAGAACACGGGAGCCGTTCGGAAGAATGCCGATACTTGCGCCAACTTGAGGAGCCATTTCGTGATATGCCTCGAGGATGACGTAGTCAATGCCGAATTTTTCAAGAAGGTTGGCTAGCATCAGGCCAGCAATACCTCCGCCGGCAATGATGACTTTGAAGTCTTTAGAAGCCATGATACTGGATTGTGTTGGACGAGTAGAGCAAAGCTTGTGCAACGTATTTGGTAAATATCCCCAATGTTATAAATAAAAGGGAACTTATTGGGAAAAAAGCTCGACTCATAGAGGGCGTTAAATACATTTCATAACCTTGTCCATATATATTAGGTTAATCATCACAAATCGACAATCGTCAATGGATCATCGACATTTCCTTGACTTGGTTTGAAAATGGTGGAGATGAGAAGGTTGGCGTATTCATGATTTTTGGATTTTCGCCTAAAAAGGCAGGTCGGAGCCGAGTCATACCCACGCATCGGGGAAAACCCACGAGAGCCCACATAGATCCCCCGCTCAACAATTGAACTCATATTGCTGGTAGGGCCATGGTGAACTCGGAAAACCCTGAAACATCATCAAGTTATTCAGCCTGCCATAGACTGTGTGGCCTCAAGTTTGGTTAGGCCTGCAACGGTCACAGTTTGCTCATACACTGACTACTGACGTTGACGCGGTTGACTGTCAGTAATCACCTTGATCCTAATCTAAACCTATACCTAGATATTTCAGTGTCTCAGCTTAGGGCATGTTCTCCCATAAAGAGCCAGACACTGTGCTGTATTCACCCGTCGATGCTGGCATGGGTTTTCCGAGGAACGGGCCGACGGAAAGTAAGACAAGCCAACGGTCTGCGCAAGTGGGTAATTGCTTGGTTTTTTTCGGCTGGTATTGGTCGCATTAAAGATCCAGAACTAAGACTTGCCAGTATCCATTTAAATTTTATAGTTTTTCTTTACATACTTGACGAGCAATCGATTGCGATACTTGCGAAATGACGCCAACCGGGCTATGCGGCCCCGAACATGTGTTACGTGTAGGCGCGAACGCATCGATCAGCATGCAAGGGTGTTACGTTGCTCAGTTGTGCAATGCCGGAATCGATTGTTAACACATCTTGGCCTGGTCCTCCAACTTTCGCGTTCTGATATGGATCCATAATGTGGTTGATTGACAGTACAGTTCGATATCAGCATACTTCAGTAGGTCTCTGTAGGCGCTTACTGGGAATTCATGTTCCATACAGAGGCCCCTTCACATTGTGACACCATGTTTTCATATTAAAGATTCTACAGAGTGAAGGAAAGAAGAGTCTGAAAAGCTCAAACCGAAAATAAGTGATGAACAGCTGTTGCTAAATCGCGCATGCTTGGCTGTTTGAAATACGACGCCCCCAAGGTCCTACATGCACTCGGCGAATAGAGATGCACCTCACATGCAATAATCTCGCATAAGCCGCCCTTTGATTCGTACAACGCATACCGGGCCCCTGTTCTTGCGTCTGAAGATCTGCCACTGCTGTTTCTCCCCAAAATATCGATGGGAATACGAACGGGACATTGTCTGAAGCATCTTTGGCATAAAGTTGCTTCCACTCCATCCAAATGCATACAAACAATCTGCCATCACGGTCTACTAGGACGAAGCGAATTCGCTGTTGAAAATAATGGCGAGAGTTTACTCAACTCTATACTCTAATGTCATGACGGTTTGCGGCTGGATGTACGAGGAGTTACCTCTCTGGTAAACAACATTGAACAAGAGTCGACCACTGTGGACTGATATAGTTAGGTTAAAGAAGAAAGAGAGGAATAACTACTACCTGGCATCGCGGGAATACATAGCGGTACTAGACCCTGGCCTGTAGGCTTGGCTCTGCAGTCGCTAAAAGCCTTTTAGCTGCTCCCCTTCCTGCAGTGTCTCTGTCATATTCAGCTCGAGTGCATATTTAACTGCTGTCTTCTCGTTTTCTCCCCTTTGCCTCTTCCTCCACTCCTAGCTTTACAGGGCTTTTGTCTTGCATCGGACTAAAAGCTGCCGTCACCTAGTTGGGTGGTTCAGAATTTTGACACAACAAAATACTTTATTAATATATTAAACGGATTAACACAACGGCTGTCCACCAACGTTTGTAGAAATGTCTTCAGAAGGTCCCATAATACCATTTGTAAGTCTGTTATCTCTGTGGCGATCGCATTCAATCTTGTTGACAGTTGTTCGGGATCCCGATGTCGTGGGTGACCTCGACAATGATGATGCGCAGACTGATGCATCAAGGTGAGTGAATCTTCGCTCATCTCATCCTTCAAGAGTATTGCTAATGAGGAAACACTTTGCAGCATGCGCGACTCAACTGCATCGCTAAGCTCCAGCATTCGCGAGTACCGAACCATTCATGGCAGGACTTTCCAGACATCCCACACGACAGATTACTGGTAAAACACATCAGCCTTTCGAACTTTTCCACCAAGCTTCCCGCAGGCTTTTGTTGACTGTTATGTTCAATACTAGGGAGCCTAACGATGAAAAGCATCTCGAAGGCTTCGATTTGACGTCAGTATCTCGCGAAACAAGACATCTGGTACTTCTAACTGCTGGGCAGGCATCAGTACACTTTGATGCTTATGGAAAATAAGCTATTCGCTGCACCCATTGAAAACCTTCAAGGTCCCTTGGTCAGCAAAACCGTACTTGTCTTTATTGTGCTCTCAGCCCTAGTTACTGATTTGACGTAGAAAGTACTCGATATTGGCACAGGCACTGGCATTTGGGCTATGTGAGTAACCAATAAACGGCACTATAGCCACGACTATCTCACTGACTTGCCCCTTATAGCGACGTGGCTGACGAATTTCCTAATGCCGAGGTATTTGGAACGGATATCTCTGCCGTGCAACCGGGCTGGGTTCCTCCAAATTGCAGCTTCCAGATTGACGATGCCCAGTTAGACTGGACCTTCAAGAAGAATTACTTTGACTTGATTCATGCTAGATGCCTTTATGGGGGCATCAATGACTGGCAGAGACTCTATGATCAAGCCTTTGTTCATCTGAAACCCGGTGGGTGGCTTGAAAATATGGAGATTGACATCCTCACTCGCTCTGAGAACCCGGCTATAGCGAGCGATACGAATCACATCTTTCGAAAATGGGCTCCTCTCTTTTGGGAAGCTGGTGATGTTACTGGTCGAACATTTCGCATCGCGCAAGACGACGGCCGTAATCCGATTCTGATGGAGACGTGTATGAGAAACGCGGGCTTCGTTGACGTTGTGCACAAGAAGTGGAAGGTTCCTATCGGCGGTTGGCCCAAGGACTCTAAGCTCAAAAAGGTTGGTCTTTTGGCAGGCTTGTATGTTGACCAGTCCCTTGATGGGTGGGCAGTCAAACCCATTGGCGAGATATTGGGCTGGACCTTTGAGGAGGTCATGACTCTAGTGGCGACCTTGCGCAAGACGCTTGGGGAACCAAAGTCGCTGCCGTATTTCAACTTGTAAGTGCCGCGTACCGGCTGTCAGGCACTAAGTGACACTTTGTTTTCGCTAACATGTTCAGCCACTTGGTTTATGGTCGAAAGCCAGGAGCGGAAGCTATTGCCACACCGCAGTCGAGTTAGCGCGCAACATCGGAGCCAACTCAATCTGCAGTCTGAATAAACACAGATGACAGGGAGAAATGCTAGGCAATTAGCGCCGAAATATCTTGGCCATGTTCTTGACTCATTTCTTCGTGCTAGGAAGGATTAGGGACTGCGGGCTTCAGCATCATGGACCAGCGGCTGTGCCCAGATCAGCCAACATATCTGAGGGGGGGAAGATGATGGAACGGCGACTTTCATGGTTTTCTTTTTACAATTGCAATCCAGAGTTTGCAAGGCAGAGTGCGATGCTTCATGCATATGTTAGGTTGAACTGCGCGTCAATGCTCTGGATTGGTAAGATGTGGCGTGTCAAGCACGTTTGGCTCGCAGCAAGTGCTAAGCTAGACATGTAATAAACGTACTGATCCACGATTTGGTCTATACTTGCAGCAACTGTAACAGCAGAACATTGCCAGTCAAAGTTTGTTGCTGTATGGAACTCTAGTCCCCGTTTCCGCCCAGCTTTCTACCTCATCTAACTCTTCTGGCCATACCCACGACGAACATGAGACTCAAAGCCATCAGCTACGGCGGCAATCTCCGCCGCATCGACGCCAAATCCATCCCTGCGGCTCGGGTCTCAACGCCCTCGTCCTCTCCTCGCCTTTGCTCCTCCCCCATGGACACCGATCTCCTCAGCACTGGCTACGGTAGCATTAGCTGCGATTACGGGCCGGGGTTCTTTAACCCCGCGCTCGGGGTCGGATATGTACATCGCGCAGGACGCAGACCTGGACCGGATCGCGTTGGGCGGTATATCGGATATGCTGTCAGGCGGGAGGGTGTCTATCGGCATGAACGCGGGGATCATGCGGGGGCCCTGCTTTGGCGTGGGCGTGATGAGCGTGTCGGTGATGTAGGCACAGCTAGACAGGATTCCGAGGGCGGCAAACCCGGTGGTTTCGGGTCATGACAACAGCTGGGGCAAGGGGTTCCAAGGTCACGACTCCAGGAGTCGAGCAGGCTCGCAGCGGGTGGTCGGTGCCTCTTTCCGAAGCAGTGTGACTGTTCCGCTGAGCCGTTCTGGTTCCCGGGAGAGAGCTATGAATTGCAAACAAGCTTCATAAGTCTTGATGTGGAAATGGCACGTCTACGCTCTAGTCTCTTTCCAACGAGAACAAACCCTTCAAGGACCAAAAACTCGCTCGCAGCTGCGTTGGTGTCTTGCACTTCAACCCAACGAAACCCGAAACCAGGCCCTTCTCGTCCCAAACTCCGCCTCCATCAGTTCATCCGCCTCCTCCCATAAACCCCAACCTCCGATACACAATGTACCACCCCATCGGCCGCATCACCGCCCAAACACCCCTCTTTACAACTCCTTCTCCAGGACCTCGAACCACAAATCGTCCCTCAGCGCCTTGCCGTCGACGAGCTCCTTGTAGGGAAACTCCCTCCTCTCCCCCGTCTTGCCGTACCCCTCCGCTGGTACCACGCAATCAGCTCCGCTCGCGTCCAGATGACGCACATCTCCATCCGCACAACCCCCCACCGCGCCGCCGCAAAGGCCTCGGCGTGCGCCAGCACGGCCCTGCCCACCCCGCCGGCCTGCCTCTCCGGGTCCACGGCGAAGAGGCCAAAGTACGCCACCGCGGGGTCCTTTTTGCTGCGCGCGACCTCGCAGCACGACAGCGCCGTGGCCGGGGCGGACGGGTCCACGACGAGGAGGACCACGCCCTCGGGCTCCGTGATCTTGGCGAGGAGCCCGGCTTCGTCGATGCGCTGGTCCGCGAGGAGGTCCGCCTCCGTCGTCCACCCCTTGCGGGAGAATTCGCCGCGGTACGCGGAGCGGATGAGCGGCAGGAGGACGGGGACGTCGGCGGGCGTGGCGGGGCGGATGGAGAGTCCCTGTTTGGGTGTTGAGACGGCCATCTTGGGCTTTGTTCACCGTTCTCAGGGCTGTGCGTGTCGTTGGCGTTGTAGTCGTGACGAGTTTGAAGCCGTGAGTCGACGGTCCGGTGAGCCGTTCAGAGACGAAAGACTCTTCTTTGGTTGATGTTCTTCTCTTCCGTGTTGTCTGGCCTCGAGGAAAGAATTATACCCAAGGCTCTTATATGTGTACAGACTCAGCGAGCAACAGGCTATCGTCAACGAGAGTATTTGAGAGTCAAAGCACCCCTATCTCCTCCGTCGCCCCATAATCCACCAAACCTCATCATCAAAAACCTCCGGGGACTCAAATTTCCCTCAGTGATCCACACCATCGAGTCATTCACACAGCTCCCGCGGCGGGACGCACAGGGCGGCGACCAATGTATGCGCCGCCTCCGTCGCCCGAATCGATCTTGTCCAAAGGCCTGATTCGACTAGGCAATGACAGCTCGGAGCCGAAGCCGTCGCATTCACACAGCGCTCTATGTAGAAATCCGCCATGTCCGACTCCTCCGATCCGAGGGACGAACGTCGCGCGGCGCGTTAAACATGGTGGAGACCGACGCATGTCACGCCCCAAGTCATTGACAGGGCGCGCCATGTCTACATGTTTTTGACATGTTTGACACTTTTGACACTTTTTTTCGACATATCCGTCGTCACAGCCCTTCACTATTCCGGCGTCCTTCCCCAGATACAACACCGGGTCACCCATTCCGGTGTCGATTTTTCGGGGAGTGGCCTACACACCCCAAAATGCAGGCCGTTGGCGCGGCGGGCGAGGGCCTCGCCGCGCCGGGTTCTGTGTAGTTGATATCATCCGCATGAACCAGGGATACCGCTGATGTGTGCCCGTCCGCGACTCGGGATGAACACCCGCAACGTGGATGCCGGGATCTCAGCTCCACGATGGGAAACATCTCAGGAATGTGCAGAGAGCGAGTGACCAAGGCCCCCGTGTGACGCGAACCAAAAAGAATATGTATTCATCAGGACGCAAAATTCTACATCAAGGGGGTATCAATGCAAGCGCGCAAAGGAAACGCAGATGCTATGCTATGCCGTCATCCTCCTCTCCCCTGTCTCCTCACTTCTTCGCCTTGGGCGGCGGCACGTTGACACCCTGCGCGCTGTTCCACACACTCGCGCTCACCTTGGCCGGGATCTTCCGTCCCCTGAGCCTCTGATCGATGAGCCACATGCCCACCACGAACTCCGCCTTGCTGAGCATCCCCCTGCGCCCGCGGTCGACGACATCCCACACCTCGGCGAGCTCCTCCGCCGGCAGCCGCGAGCGGCGCCAAATCTCCCGCGCCACGACGTTGGCCACGCAATCGGCGGCGGCGTCGGGCGGCAGCGCGGGGGTCCCGGACGCTTGCAACGGGGGCGTCAGCAACACGCCTCGGTTGCTCGCCCACACGGCTTCGTAGCGACGGCGCTCACGGAGGGTGATTTCGTCGCGCCAGCGGCGGCGCGCGCCCTCGCGGTGCGAGTGCTTGTTGCTGGCGCGCTGGTGTTTCTTCTTGCGGATCTCGTCCTCGTCGTCCGATTTGGACGGCGGCTGGCGGAGCGTCTGCCGCATGCGCGGGGACTTGGTGCGGTTTGGCAGCGGGGGCGGGGACAGCGTCGAGTTGCCCGTGTTGGAGGGCGTCAGGCGGGCCGCGGCGAGGGACCCGGCCATGATTGCGTTGGAGAGGGCGTTCAGGGGCAGGTTCGCATTGGAGGAGGCGGGCGTGCGTCGCGGGGTTGTGCGGCTTGGCGAGCTGTTCGCCGAGGAGCGCCCTGGGGTGCTCTGGGCGGAGTGCGCTGGATGGGGAGATGCCCGTGCTAGGCTGTGATCGGGTACGGCTGTCTGACCCGACTCGGCCGATACAAATGTGTCGTTGGAAGAGCTCGTATCGGCAGTAGAAGGCCGAGCCTCGGATTCAGGGCGACGCCGAGGCTCCTGGAGTGGACCATGACCGTAAACTGATGCCATGCTTCGAGGTTTGGCCAAGGGCGGCGCGTCAGGCTCCCTTGATTTCCCACCATTGCCCCGCGGCTGGGGAGGCGTCGGAGGCCGCGGCTTGGCCTTGGACGCCGGTCTCGTCGGCTTGGGGGAGACGACCTCCGTCTCTACGCGCTTGACCACGGGCGGTGAGCTGGGAGCGGCTTGCTGAGCCTTGGGCCGCGACCTCCTCGGCTCGGGGGTGGCCGGGGGCGCCTTTGACTCTGGTCTCGTGGTCTGTGTAATGGGAACCCGCGTGAGCTGCGACTTAGGCTGAACCCCTGGCGCCTCCAAAGGTATCGGTGACATTGTGATGGTAGGCTGTGTCTTCCTGGCTGGCGGTAGCTGCTCGGACTCGGACCGCTTGTGAGTGACCCTGGCCGGCGACAGCAGCGGCTTGACGGGCTTCGGCACGGGTTTCTTCTGCTGCGGCGTAACCTCCTCCGTAGACTCCTTCTCAGCAACCAAAGTAGGCGTTACGGGCCGCGGCTTCACCCTGGGCTTCGGCTTCGGCACTACAGGCTTCTGCACGCCAGGCCCCTCCTCCTCCTCCACGATCCCCATCCTTGCCGCCTTTGCCCTCGACGGACTAAGCTCCCTCTCCGGCGTCAGCGGCCGCACCTTGGGCCTCGCGACCTCCCCACCGCTCCGCTTGACGGGGTCGACGTCCTCGCCTCCCCCCTCAAACATGGTGATCAGATGCCCCGTCGCGGGTATCGAGCTCGTGTCCGGCAAATCGAGACTGCTGACTACGCTCGACGACCCCCCGCTCCCACGCCTGCCTCTCTTGCCGCTGCTGAACCTGGCATTCTGCATCTGGTGCAGCTGGTTCAGCTGCGCGGGCGTCAGGGAGCCAGGGCTCGCGTGTGGCTGTGGGCTCGGCGACGCGCTTCGCGACGCGGCCAGGGTCGCGGCGATGTAACTCGGGCTCTTGGGGTCGAGCCTGGTGTGCGGCGTCAGGTGCGACGCCGACGTCGCGGCGGGGCTCGAGGCAATGAAGTTGGACAGCCGGTCCCGCATGTCCGCCGTCCCGTCGCGGCCGAAGCGGTCCCTGTCGCCCGGCGTCGTGGCGAGGCTCGTCCCTGTGTGTTGGCGCTGCACCGGACTCGTGCTCGTGCTCCGGTCGTAGTTCGAGGCCGTGGACGTGGCGATGAGGCTTGCTCCGCGGCGGCGGCCGGCGGTGGGTTTCGGGGGCGGGATGGGCTTCGGCTTCGTCTTGTTGAAGGCGAGGTTTGCGCCCTTGAGGGCAGCGGCTGCATCGGAAGCACCGCTGCCGCCGGCCGGGGCGGGATGGTGGTTATGGTGGTGATGGTGGGTGTTCATTGTCATGGCGATGGGCGGCCGCGGGATGTCGTCGTGGGAGGAGGTAGCATCGGAGGGCGCTCGTTGCAGCAAAGGGGCGGCCGGGTGGTGAATCAATCAATGGGTTGGCGATGCTTCGTTCATTATGGGAGCTTCGTCATGGGCACTGTGCTCGGTCTGCGTATGTCGATAGCATATAACGGCTCGTACGGATTGATGTCGTGGGATTCAAAGAATAACGAATGTACGGGCGGTTGGTGTTGGGAAAAAGGAGAAAAGAGAGAGGTCCGGGATGTCGTATTCGGCAGGGCGGCAGGCAGAAAGTGGGAATGGATCACGTTGGCATCCCGGCGGCTGAGCTCCAGCCTCCTGCGGAGAAGATACGCAGGATGATTTTGGATGGTTGGATGGATGGATGGGATGGACTTGAGGCAGAGGCGCGGAACAAACTGACAAAGATGGAACGAACCGGTGGCCCGGTGACTTGCAACTCTTCCCTTCCCCTTCAGCACCAGTGTCTTTTGGCAATCCGGGCTCTCGGGGGGGAGAGAATTCCTCCAACTGGCACCTGTAAGGCTGAGACACTGCTCATTTCAGCGAGGGCCGCCCCTGAACACGCCAACTACTTGGTACAGGTTACTGGGTACCGGTAAGAATTACCTAACATGCTGCACGCTTCTCCCCTCATAACCTTCTGTCTGGACATGCAGGGGGAGCCGAGACACAGCAGTACCTAGAGATGTCGTAGCGCTTGGAGAAATGACGCAAATCGGGCAACTCAGGCACTGAGAGCCGCCAAGGGGGAAACACCACCGGGCCACCCATCAAGGAACATCACCGAAGATCTCGACATCACTGGCGTCATAATAGCGGATCTAGGTTCTGTGAGGCCCTGGCTAGAGGTCTCGGCCGCCGCGCTCCCTAATAAACACCGGGCGCGCGGGTTTATCCCTAGGCTCTCTCCTCGCCCGCGTTTGACTTCCTGACAGCTGATCCGCATGTCTTGTCCGTCTTGCGTGTCTTAGCTCCCGTCATTCGTCTGCCGAGCTTTCCGCCGTCTTGTCTTACACACACTCTTCCACACACTGAACCTCGACCAACTCTCACAAACCACCGGAATCATCGGAAGCTCGCAAATTCATATACACCATCGTCAACATGGACCACAAAGGTATGTGAATGAGTGATGTACCCATCATCTCGTAGTTTGTTCTTTCTACACTAAGAAACACCTATTTATCCTTGATGGCTAGACACGCAGAACAAGACAGCAAAAACTGACAAAGCGAACAGAAAGAGGAGTCCACTCCGAACCCGAGTTCGGGGCGGCCGTCCGGACGCCATGAAGAACCAGACGCCAATGCCAACCCTCCCTTTGCTTTGATTACCAAGGAAATTTTACCCAGATGGGGGGGTATGTCCGACAGAAACAACAGCCGTCCCGGCTGTTGATCGGGGAGCCTGCTGGCAGTTGACCGCAAGACCCAAGGCCTGGTGGCCCACGCCAATCCGATATGTACGGAGAGAAGATCTTCCAAAACACAACCAAATTCCTCCGCTCCCACCCCTCAAACAATCAGCCAAATAGTAACGACACGAAGAAGGAAGCGAAGATGCGAAGAGCGTCCGCAGACACCAAGATTCTCAACGAGAATCCCCGAAAAAAACAGAGACAATTAATTGTCATGAGCGACGGCATCGTTCAGACGTGAGGCGTAATCATCCGACATTATCATCAAGTTGGACAAGATTCAGGACTGACTGGCACAGAACAAGACATGGAAAGGAGCCAGGCCCTTCTTTTAGTATCCGTCTTCGTCTGTCCACTCGCTACCCGAGATGATGCGGTTGCCCTCGCCGTCGCTGTACACGTGTCCAGCAGGTGCCGTCATCGGGAAAGGGCGTTGTCTCTTGGGGTCGTTGGCCGGCGGCCGCTGCCCTGCTTCCGGCTCGAAACGATTGCAGCGGGCGGCCCGCACCTTGGCATAGTATGTGTCTGTAGCATCTTGCTCCGGCTCGCTGGCGTCGTCGTACGTTTCCCAGTTCTCCGAGCCAGTCACGTTGCTGGACCCGTTGGATGAGTTGGAAATTTGTCGGGGTGGTGGTGCTTGGGGGTATGAGGAGGGGGGGTACTGGCGCAGGGTCGAAGAGTGGTAATCGTGCTGGGAAGATCCACCAGAGTGATGGGAGCTTTGAGAGGCGTACGACGCATGAGAGGCGTGCGACGTGTGCGACAGGGTCGAGTTGGCCCTCATCAGACCCGACTGCTGGCAGTCCTCGTCGTAAGGATCTTCCAGCTCGACCTGGCGCACGATGCTCCCACTCAGTCCTGCCATCTTGTACAGGTTTGCGGGGGCCCCAAGCTCTACCGTGTTCAGATCCCGCATCTTCGGCGGAGGGGCGCGCATAGGAGCCCCACCCCGGATCGTTGCGTACGCATCGATTCTCGATGCGGGTCGGTCCTGCCTCTCGGGCGAGTTGTTGCCGTACTTGATGTTCGTCAGCGGAGGGCGCGCCGGGATCCTCGATGGGCTGCCCGGCGGCCTATTGAGAGTTTGTGCCCTCTCCCTGACGGTGCCCATGGAAGAACCCGGTCGGAGGATTTCCTGGGATTTCGCATGAGCGGAAAGGGGTCTGGCTTGAGCTGCGCTGTTTACGGTGGTGGCGGCGCGCTTGATCGTGGGCGCTGGAGCCGGCGTCCTAGCACCATTGCGCGTGGGAGGTCTCGCGATGCCGGTAGTGCTGTTAGCTCTGGCGTGTCCCTTGGGTCTGGTCATGGAGGCCGGGGCCGCCCCGATACCAGGAGTCTTGGATCGCGGGCCAGGCGCTGGTCTGTCTTCAGCTTCGATGACATCCAGGTACCGCTCGCCGTGGACAAGGAAAGGCCGTCCGAATTCGTCCTCGAAGCGCTCAAGGACCTTTCGCAGATCGACGGTGATCTTGGGAAGCTCCTTGGCAATGCGCTTGCGCATCTTCTCTTCTCTGAGAAGCTTGCCGGGGTCGCGCTTCTCGCCCTTTTGTCCTCGCATCATGAGGCGGGAGGCATCCTGGCTGGAAGCCGCGAGCTCGTCGCGCTCATGAGTGAGGCTCTTGTGCCTGTCAATGAGCTCGAGTGTCGGGGCGCGCTGTTCTTTGAGGGTTTCTAGTCTCTGGATCTCGCGCTCGTGAGCTTCCAAAAGCGCGTCGCTGTAAACATCAGAAAATGCGGGTGTAAACTCGAGCATCTCGTCCTCTGAGAGATACAGCGCATCCCACAACTCCTGTAGTTTGTAGCGCGCGTCCTCGACGAACAGGTGCAGGTTCTGTCGCTTGAGCTCGTTCAAGCGGTTCAGCTCGTCCTCAAACTCGTTGATCTGTCTTACGCCGCAGCCTCGGTTGCTGTTGAGGAACGCCTTCCTCTCGCCCATGTCGACCTCGAGCTTTTCCCAGAGGGCCTCGACTGCCACCCGCAGGTCCTTCAGACGCTTCTCGCGGTTCTTCTTCTCGTCCGACAGCTTGTCGCGCTTTGCCTTGAGACGTTCGAGGTCCTCCTGGTGCAGACCCAACTGTTCGGGGGACTCGCGGTAGTACTTGACGATGGCGCCGTCGGTCTGGGCTTGAGGGGTGCCCAGTTCGGCCCAGAGCTGGATGATGTGCTCGCAAAGGGCCTTAACCGTTGCGACGCGACGGGTGTACTCTTCATAGACTCTCGTAAACTCATGGTCGAGCTTGTCCACGTACGACGGCGACAGGTCAAAGTTGGGCGGAATAGACTGGTTCGGGCCGGTTGGCGGCAGGGGGATCTGGACGAAGGTGGCTTCAAGGTGCGACGAATATGATTCGAGTGCTTCGACGAGTTCTGAAGCAGTGGTTAGTGGGAAGTCTACCGGTTGCTTATGCTTTCCAGGGCGACTCACTCTTGACCTGTTCGAAGCGCTCCTTGTGCAACCGGGCAATCTGCTTGTGCTTCTCCTTGAGTGTTTGCAAACAGCGCGTTAGGGGGTATGTGATCTGGAGGTCGTCGTTCCGGTCGCGGCGCGCGCGGTTGTCGTCGAGTGATGCCTCCATTTGTTGGATAGTAGTGATCATTCGCTCGGCTTCCTCAATCATCTCCTCCTTTTCGCTTGTCACTAGACGGACCTGGTCGATGAGCGCCTTGGAAAGGGCCTCGAAGAGCTGTACCATGAAGCGTCAGCACGGTCAGCGCACAGCAAAGACTCAAGGGAGGCTTACGTCTTCCTCGCGCTTCTCGCGATCATGATTAGGGACGCCAATCTCGTCAAATAGTCCGTGCAGCTGGCCAATAATGGTGTTGACCTGCTGAGACAGGTAACTGGTGTCCATGGCGAATTATGTTGATGGAACGGCAATCAAAACAAGGGGCGAGAGAAAGAAAGAGGCGGGCTGTGTCGGGTATAGGTAGTCGGTTCCGATTAACGTCGTGGGGGTGATTGAAAAGAGTGGGTGCAGCGCAAAGGCTGGTTGTGATCGCTGATGCTATTCACGGTAGCGGGGAAGCGGTGCGGGAGCTGCGATAGCGACGGGGCGACCGGGTCGAGTTGTTTACTTTCCCTCTCGACGGGCGAATACGGGTCTCTTTTCCTCTGTACGACAGCGACCAAAATAGATAGCGAATGGTCACCGATAGATATGCGGCGAGTGGTGCATCGTCCGGCAAGAACAGAGAAGGGGGGGGCTGGGAATCTGCAGTCTCTTTGGATCTGTGAAGCCGGAAGAGATTTGTCTGAGACTGCGGATTAGGACCTGTTGACGATGTAATGGGCGGAGTTGAAGGTGGGAAAGGAGGGGGGAGGAGAAAGAGGGAGAGAGAGAAAGGTGAGGGAAGAGAAAGACGGTGACGAAGATGCAGTTGATGAATCGCCGCTTGCCGGAGGTCGCAATGCAAGGTGAGGAGCGCGCAGAGTTGCAAATGTGAGGTGCAAAGTGGGCGGGCGGGAATGTGACGGGCTGGTCGAGGTTGGTGTTTTCCCTCTTCAGGCTCGCGTGGTGGGGTCGTCTCCACGGCAACGTCCCAAACCCCTGTTCTTGTCCCAATCCATCCCTGTCTGTCCCTGTCCACCCGCCCCCATCCCTGCTCAGTGCCTGCACACGCTGTCGTGCTCCCCGGTCGTCCTCAGGAGCCAGACGGTGCCAGGGCTGCTCTGGTAGTGGGTTTCAGGAAAGAGCTACCCCGCCATTGGCCAGCCTTCCTGCCCTTTCACCTTCACTGAGAAGCTGAGAAACAGGTACGTACCGCGACACTAGGTAGTGTACAGCAGTGAGCTGTCGTTGGGAAGCATGTTCCGTTGTTTTAGCGACCAGAGCCACTGCTGTCAGCTCAGCCAGCCGGCTCGCTCATTGGCCCGTCTTAGCTAAGCAGGCTAGCGCAGTTGCACCCCGTCAATCAAGCGAGCACCTCAAGTTATCTTCCGTTTATGTTCGGAGGCTGGGCTTTTGCCCACATAGGTGCAGGGCAGGAACCGGCTGAATGATGATGACGGGCGCATTGCGTTCTTTTCCTCCATACAAGGCAATCCGGCATACAGGTTCATGCACCTCATGATTGTCGGAGTCACAACCACAAAGAGCCGTCTCGACTTTTGCTGGTCGCACACAACGAGCATGGGCGATCAAACAGACGCCGCAAATGCGCAAACATCAATCACCCGCAGCTCTAGTCGCGCATCGGGCATCCGCTTTGTTTACATCACATCTCATCGCAACGGCCCCCTCCCATCGCCAATGACCTCGCGTCCCTGAGTCTGCAAGTCATCCAGCTGCCCCCAGCAACCCAGCTAACGTCGAGTGCAACCAGGCTAGTGCAGCTGCCTCGCATCGAGCTAAACTCATGCAATTCGCAACTCTTTCTTCTCTGTCTCTCCTCAGGTGCGTTGCAATGCTCGCTCTGCCTCCAAGTCTGTCCCACTCTTGTGGTACTCTTTACTGTGTAGGTATTCCATCACATTGACTCGATTCCCTCACGCATATGCACCGCAATGGATCCCCTCAAAAAAAGCCCGGCCAAGGTCGTAAAATCAAGAAACCGATCTGCTCATTTCGGCTCTTTCCCATCCCATGTATCCCTACCCTGGTTGTCCCCATTCTGCTGTGGGCATTCGCAGGTGCCCCGGTGAGATGCAGGCGCCTGCGCCTCACCACGGTGACGGAGCGTCGAACCCTTGCTTCTTCCAACACTTCCAGTCTTACATAGTACAGCACACAATGAGTGTCGGATAACTTCGGCGACACCCGCTTTCACCAATGGCCGGTTCCCATTGGGCATTATGCTTTCTTCTCTCCCGTCTTTTGTGTTCCCCCTTAATCAGGCAATCTTACTTCCAGCCAAGTCCAGGCCTCTGGCCCGTTGTCTCCGATTCTCGTCGGCCTCGTTCCTCCCTGTCGTCTTCGCCCTGGAAACCACCATCCTCGAAAGGTGAAGACGTCCCATATTATCTGGCCCATGCTCCCTCTCTCGCCTCCACGCCCGCCTCCCTCCCCAGACTCGGATGAAAATCTTCGTAACTGACCCCGTCAGGCACAGCGTGATCTCCTCAATCTGCCCAGCCCGACACGGCACAGGCCGCCCGCTGACAGGCTTCTGGGTCGGACGTTTGACGCCAGTCTGCGCCGAGGTCTCCCTTGCCTTGCAAACTTGCTGAAGTGCTCGCTTAGCGTCTGCCCTTTCCAAGCCTGGCGACGTCATTGTTACCTTTTCCAAGACGCGTCGCCCAGTGGGTTTCCGCTACGATCGTGATCGTGATTCGGCTTGCCGCCCCCGTTCATTCCAGCCCGCGACATTATCTGGCCTTGGTTAAGTACATGGGTAATTGCGGGTGTTTGGTTCGCCTCGCCCAACATTGTTTCAATGCACGAGCACTCGTTCGACGTACCGGAGTATTCTTCGTCGGGTTCTTTCCGTGTGGCTCTTCTGCCTCCGAAGCTCTTACCAGCATCACAGGCTTGCACTCGAATTTCGTGATTCGGAATGTGACTTTTATGACGCTCGTGGTTGGCTTGAGGTTGGTATAGCATGGCTGGGTCATGGACCGCCATCACGGGATGGATAGGGCGATAAGCGACAACGGCCTCTGGCCACAAGTGTGTAGTGCTTTGAAACTGTATCATCACCATCCGTCCCTATCTAACCTCCAGCCGAAGCCTAGATAATCACAAAGTTTGGCTACACTGGGGGCCATCGTCTGGCCATCGATGAACTGGACTTGAACTTCTTACACCTGCATGCAAAACGAGGGGCGTTCCAAAGGTTGAATGCAAGAGAATGGCTATAGTTATCTCACCGCCTGACACCACGTCACATATAGTACTACGTGTCTTAGTTGCGTGCATAACAAACTCGCGTCCCCTATACTTCGTCAAGCGCCAACTATCCGCAACTTACTACACGTCCCACCCTCACATATGACAGGTGTAGTCTGTTCTTTGTGCCCCTTGCTCGTGTCATCCATCTCATAGCCATGGTCCCCGCCCGTCCTCTGGTCACCAACGTGTTTTTCGTCCCCTGCAGTACCAGAACTTAAAGCCCTTTTCTTCAGCCTCGCCCGTCGTTGAAAATACCCAGCCACCGCAAGCGCGATGACCCCAAACGCCACACCGATACCAACGCCAGCTTTAGCGCCGGTACTAAGTCCGCTGCCGGCACCGGAAGAACCCGAAGCAGTCGCTGTTGATGCCACAGGTGTGGTTGTTCCAGGCGCGCGTTTGGCGATGGGCAAGGTCGTCGAAGAATCGCGACCGTCTAGGGCTTTTCTCCAGTCAGTCGTTCGAGTCTTGTAGACCAAGGAAGGTTGTAAAGGTCGGCTTACAATGTAGATACTGCTGAGGGCAGATGCCGCTTGTCCAGCTGGGATCGGTACAAGTGCCATAGGCATAGCTGACGCCGACATCTCGAGCCATATCGTCAAGGCGGCAGAGACCGTCCGACAGGCATGCGTCTGCGGAGATGCAACACATGCTCACAGGCGCCGAGGCCTTGCATGGCACATCGGTGCTCTGCTCGCCATTGGGATAGTAGCAGAGACGCTGAGCTACGGCCAGCTGGAGCAGTGCGGTCACGCCGATAGAGGTGGCGCGACGCAGCAGCATCATGCTCGACTATCTTCGGCGTCGGATATATTTTCGGAAGACACAGACTGGCTGCGGAATCTGTACAATGAGAAGCTGCGGCTAAGATGCAAAGGATAAAGCAGGCCAGCTGCGGCTGACTCGATTCTTGTGGAGGAGTGATCCTTCCTTGAGGGCGGAGAATTCATCTTGTCGACAAGGGTCTGTCGAGGTTAACCCAACAAGGAAGGTCGAAATGCCTGCAAGAAATCGTAGCAAACGGGCGGGGGGATCAACTTCGCCAAGACTTGCGTAACTCTCGCTCACGGACAAGGAGAACAGTTACACTTTGTTCATATAAATGGCATTGTTTAGGCAAACACGATTAATGCTGTATCGTACCATCAGTATTTGTAAATATGTCGTCAGGAACGTAAGAAAAGCCCAAACGGTCTATGGACCTTTTATGTTTTGAGAAAATCCAACCACCCCATCGCACATCTTGCCGCTTTTAGCCAAACAGTCTTGCATCTCGACATGAATCTCATAAGATTCATGTCGAGATAACTTGCGGTGCAAAGTGCCACCTTGTCTTTCAACACGAGATTTTACCACGTTGACAAAGACTAAGGCACAAGGATGAGTAAGATGTTGATGTGGTCAGCTTTGGGGGCGTTTAGCTTGGTTGACGTTCATTGGCCTGTGGGGTCTACTAGTGCCACGAATGCTCGACTTGAAAGCCTATTGCCCGATGGCAACTACGCTTGCTTACAACTATTGAGACAGACATACAAGTTTACTATCTGCTCGCGGATGCAACATGCCTGTTTTGGCAGTAAATTGGTCGATATGTTTTTAGAATCACATCATGTCGATTAAGTAACGTACTCGCATAGCGAGCGGGCCAACAGAGCGAGCGGGCCACTTTTCCAACTTTCTACCTCTTTGACCTTTACACTAACTTTCCTCTACGTATAAACATGCTATCCTCTTCAATTAAAAGTCATATCATCCTTGCTATCTAGGCTATCAAAAAAGGCCTAAAAATGTCTATATAAAAAGCAGCCTTAACCTTTAAGGTCCCTTAAACTATACTTTAATATCAATGTGTTAGACGTGTTATATAACCTGAAAGACGACTAAATTTAATAAAGATAACTATAACTAAAGAAAAAGTAATTCTTAAATAAGTTATTAACCTAATTAATTAAGGGTTCTTTTTATAATAAGAAGATATATAAGAAATAGCTAATTAACTCCTAAACGCTTATAATAAGATATATATAAGACCTTAATAAACAAAAAACTTTATATAATATATCCTTTAATTAAAAATATAATTTTAATATTAAATTAATTATTAAAGGGCCTTAGCTAAAGATGTTATAATTATATAAAGCTAATTTATACTTATATAAAATATAATTATAAAATATAAAATACTTAATAATAATATTTATAATTTTAATAAAATTAGGTTCTTAATAAAAATATTATTATATATAAAGGTTATTATAACGTCTAACTATAAGAAAAGACTTTATATAAAGTAGCTTAGTAATTAGAAATAGGTTTTTGTTATTTAAGGTGTATATATAAATAGCTAAGTAATACTTTTATATATTATTATAAAAAGTAAATATTACTTTTTCTTTTAGTATATTAATAACTAATTTTTAGCTATATAATATATTTATTTAAGTAAAAATAAATTAATAATAAATAATATTAGCTTAAATTAATTAAAGTATTTTAATTAGTATATAAAATCTTATATAAAAAGTTCTTATTACCTTTTAATTTTTAATAGTTATAATAGCTATAAATTAATTAACTTTAATAAATACTATAAAAAATAAAATATTATTATTTTATATATACTTTTTTATTTATTATATAAGCTTTAGCTTTTTAATATTAAGTACTTTAGCTTATTAAAGTATTTATATAATAAAAAAATTAAGAAGATAATATAAATATAAATTTTATATTTTACTAAAAATAACTTCTTTTTTGCTTTTAAAGTAGTATTTTTTACTTTAATAGGTAAAAATAATATATAAGTAAGTTTTAAATAAATAGTGTTACCCTTGCCAATAGACACAGGAGGTCTACCACTATATAAGGTAAACCTCTCATAAGGTCATTAAGGGAATCAACTTCTTTCACCTTTATCTTCTAGATCTTATCTTTGGTGAAGCAGGTTTACTATATTGACTGTAAGGTCTGTCAGACTACATGATAGATCTGACTGCTCCTCTGAAGGACTTGCCTTATCAGAGGGGTAATAAGTAGTAGTATAACCTTTTACTTTATTCCTTAGCTTTTATTAAAAAACAAATTTGTTATATAAATCTTATTTCTTATTAAGGTAAACGACTAAGAAGTAAACCTTAGCTTAATAAAGGTAATAATATAATAACTTATTTTATATATTATTATATTAATATTAATATTAGGTATAGCTAATAATAAGACTTAAGGGACTAAAGTATTATAGTTAAATCTGGAATTTTATAGATATACTTAAATACCTCTTATTAATTAAGCTAATTATACTATTATTACTATAATAGTAGTAGTAAGTACTTAGCTAAGTAAATTAAAAAATAAAATTTTTAAATTAACTTTATACTATAAGGTATAACTAACTTATGTTTATATCTAAGATATTTATTATATATAGCGCTTTATTAAATAAAAGCTAAATAAACTATTAGTTTATAGTCTCTTAGATAGCTTTTAATAGAACTATACCTAATTATTTATAGTATTTTAGTATATTAACCTTAATAATAAATAATATAAGATCCTTTTTTTTAATAATAAAGCCTATATTTTGCTATTATACCTTTTTAAGTAGAATCTTAAAGGAGAAATTAAGAGGCATTTATAAACAGTAAAGTAGATTATTTGGCTTATATACTAAGATAGGCTCCTTAGAGATAAAGACGTAGTTAGTGACGTGTCTTTAATCTTAGAGAACTAAGGTAGCCTAAGCAACTGGCTTAGGACTATTATTATAGCTATGGATCACAAGGTAAGTAACCTGCTATAAGGATAGCACTAAACCCTCTTTTAGCTAAGAGACTTGGCCTTACTGCTATTTCCAAAGACTAAGAGTATATTAAGATTATCAAGGGACAAGGCAAGGTCTTTATTATATCTAATTGTTAAAATAACAGCACCAGCTGGTTGTACGACACGCACAACTCAGGGACACACATTATAGCAGAGGGCACAGACTAGATATTTGGCTCTCGGTTAACCATTAAGGGGATTAAAAGTATATTCATGCCGAACTAACTTAGGGATATATAAGATCATATATCTTGTATATAAAAGCTAAGTCTTATAGTTAAGAAAATAATTATAGAAAATATATTTTTAATTTACCTTAACTTTAACCTAAGTATAATTATATAAATAGGTTCTCTTAAAAAAAAAGAATCTATTTAATACTAATTAGTAGTTACTTAATAATCTATATAATTACTTTATATAATTATAAATTAGTAAAAGTAAAAAAATAAAACTTAGGCTTTATAGCTAGGCTACTAGGTAGTCTTATACTTTATATAAGGCAAGAAATCCTTAGGGATACCTAAGGGGTTATACTAAAAAGTCTCTTATACTAAAAAGCCTTAATTTTATTTATTATTATTTATTAAGCTAAACTAAATAAATAAAATAAAAATAACTTTTGTTTTATTATTATATAAAATAAATTCTTATTATTACTTATTAAGCTAAACTAAATAAGAATCTTTATTATATTATATATAAAGTATAAAATATATATTATAGTATTAAATAAACTAATTTTAATGTTATATAATATAAAATAACTACTAAATATAATATAGCTTTTTAAAAGGATCTAAAAAATAATTATTAAAGCTAATATAATAATATTAATAAATACCTATTAATATATAAAGAAATAAGTATAAAGAGTAAAGTCTTATTATATATATAAAAGAAGACTATAAATCCTAGACGTTAAAGAAATCTAGTTAATATTATATAAGTATTATTTAAAGAAGAAATAACTATATATATTATATATATTAATATAAAAATACTTTATTTTAAGTAATTAAAAAAAAACTTAATAATATTATTATATAAAGATTTTAATAAATAGTTTACTTTTTAATAAAAAAAGGTCTATTATATATTTAAAGTAAAGTTTATATAACTTATTAAGCTAAAAAGATTCTAGTTATTATTAATAAAAAATATAAATTAATAGCTAATTAAATTTATTAAGGAAATTCAAAGGAAGTTTAATAAGTAAAAAGAATAGCTTTTTACTTATATAATATTTATATTAAGTTATATAATTATAATAACTTAAATACTTATTTAAAACCTTAAATTAACTTTATTTTAGAATATAGCTAAACTAATAATAGAGCTAATTAAGCCTTTATATAATATATAAATAACTTAAATATTAATTATATAAAAGTAATTATAATTAGCTTTAAGAAATATACCTCTTAGAATAAGATTTATATAAGAGGTTAAGAGTTTTTTATAAATCTAAGGTTATATAATACTTTTATATTAAAGAGATAGTATTTATAACTTACTATTAAGATAAATAATTTAAAATAAATTATATAAGCTAACTATAATTTCAATTTTCTAAAAGGGATAAAGAAAAAATAGGAATTATATAAGTAAGCTATATAATATCTTATATAATAAAGTAAAGGTCTTTATTAGTTTTTATTAATGCCTTAGGATTACTAAAGACTAATACTATATAGTATTTCCTAATATTTTAGCTAATTATATAAAAAAGTTTTATTTTTATTATATTAGACTAATAAGAAGATAAAATAAGATATATAACATATTAAAAATACACTTTAATACTAATATTAACTATACTTTCTATTAGATAGATTAAATAAGTCTATTCTTTATATAAGTTAAATAAAATAATTTAAATAAGAATCTAATAAACATATTAGAGATACTTTTAGACAAGATACCCCTTATATAATAGGCACTTAGCCTAGGTTTTTAAG